CACCCAACTGCTCCCTGGCCGGCCCGCCCCTGCCATTGAGCCATGCCATGTACATCATGATTCCCATCTGATTTCCCGAGTAGAGGGTTGGTCCTTCTGCGCCGGTCGACGTTCTGTAACTAATTGCGGAGCGAACATCAACTTTGGGCTCACATTACATACTCTCGGCAGTGCTTCATCTTCTCAGAGCAGGTCTCAGAGGCCGACCGACCCGCGATCCACGATCCCGAGGTTGGCAACACGGTCGACAGAGGGAAACAGATTGTCGAGGCGTGATCGATCTTCGGTACGACCCCAAAAAAGCTGGATGCATTAGCTTGGTGTGATAGTTTTTCGAAGTTTGGGATGACCAAGATGACCGACTCGGTGCCTTGAGTCTTGACCAGTTGGCAGCGTGCCTCGAGCCTCGCACCTGTGGCATCCCTCAAACCCGCATAATCATCATCGCTCGATTGTAGAGCTTCCGGGTCGCCATCCCAGATTCAAGCCAGACAGGATTCTGTCTGCTTGGGCCCAACAAGGGCAGCATGGCCAGTAGGGGGGAACCCAAGCATTCCCGACACGCGTGTACTCCGTATTCAATCCCTGGCTGTGCGACATTACACCCCGTGTTCCCAAAGTTTATGGCAAAGTAAGTTTGGATGGGTTTGCAGAAGCCAAGCGCTTGATAGAGTTCCAATGGCGGTCGGAATTTACCCGGTGCCACAAGCGCTTGGACTGAGCAGCGCACGAGTTGGCGACCATGAACCAGTCTTGGGATTGCTGCGTGATCCGAGAGTCAGTCGATTCTATTTTTTTATTTTTTTTGGCCCTTCGCTACCAAAGTCTAGAGGTATGTAAGGACTTGTGAAAACGCTGAGCTCGGGGCGGCAAACTCTGCGAGGCATTCGTCGACCATTGTCCAAGACTTCTCCTTGCTCCGTCACACCGCGCTGCTACTCCAACTGCTCCATGGCTGCCCCAGTGTTTTGTGTTTCTGCTCCAGAAGTTAAAATCCGAAAACTCAATCCCAACGCAAACCCACCGAGCACTTTTGCCCACCCTGAGAGTGACGGGCGCTGACCGCCTATCATGGCGAAAGCGACGTTGCTGACGGGATAAAGGCCATGTTCAATCGTGTGGATTCTGTCGTCTGCGTGGAAAGACTTTCATGCTTTGTACATGAACTTGCTGCGGTGTGCCCCCCAGTCCCCAGTCCCCCGTTCGTGTCGAGTGGTGTCCAGCGCGCTCTGCTCAAGATCGCTTTGGGAAATACCAAGCCATGCTGCTCCTGCTACCCTCTTTCGTGGTCGAGTCGTAGTCTTTCACGTTGCATCATCAGATTCGACTCAATAAACATCCTCAGCTATACTTCTCTAGCCTATTAGACAGCCTACCTACTAGACACTGGACTGGCTATGGTCACATTGCACTTGTGGGGCGCTCTATCTCCATGGCTGTCTGTCTGTCAACCAAAGGAGCCTGGAGTATATTCCCCTCTGCACGACCGTCCTTTACCAGTCCTTGCCTCCTTGCGTCCTTGCCCACGCCCAGTCTTTCAAAGGCCCTGTCTTTGCGAGGCTCTGGCTCAGCTTAGAAAATCCCCTGTCGGAACCTTGAGATGCTTCCTGAGCCAATATCCCTCTTATCGTTGAGAGATTTACAGAGCACACCCGTCCTAATCACCAAACATGTCCCGGACGCTTGAGGTGACGGTTCGACAGGCCCTACAGATCGCTCAGAACAGCCAGACAGGGGTGATTGATCCGCAGATTCTCCAGATACTCGAAAACTATCTCAGCCGGACCTGGAGTCGCATTCAGGCCCAGCCAGATACCTATATAATGGACGGACTGGAATTTGCCGTCTTCAATCACTTTAGAGCACGCTCTGAATTCCAGAATGAAACTGCAAGGAAGGCCGTGTCAAGATATTGGAACAGCCGGACTGCCAGCGACGGCGCTTGAAACTCGGAATATCGGCACCAAGTCGAGTGAAAGCAGCTCGAGTCCAGGCCTCCTGAGGGCTGTTTGGATCGTCACCATCAGCTCCGTGCCCGTCAACTTCCACTTCGATCCGGGCGCCTGATGGACCTAATGAGGGGCGCAAATAAGTCTCGACAGATCTCGGTGCGAGACAGGCATCTCCAGGGTCGAGAGGGACTTGCCTCGCGTTCGAGATGCCCGTGCGCCTTGGGAACCTGGCAACTAGAGCCGTGATCCGAGTTTCACGGGACGAGAGCCGTGGTTTACCGCTGCGCCCAGGAGTTCGGGGGTGTTTTATGATTGGACGTCTCTATGGATTATTATTCATAGAGACGCTCCCACGTGTTCTAGGAAACAGGAAACGCTCATGCAGGGAGGAGAAAGGCTTGCGTCGCTACCGTCAGCCTCAACCATCGTTTTGTCCCCATACCCGAAGTCTGCAAGCGTTCATAGATGTTTTTCTATCACTGCAGCACTTCACTCTTCAGAAGCATTTATAGCTTTGGTTTACGGCCTGCAATAATCGTATAAACCTTACATCGCTACACCAATCTCCTGATGGTCAATGTCCGCGAGCTGCCCTCAGTGGCAGAAGGTGCCTGCAGGGCAGCCTTACGAGACTGGCCACCTCACCACGCTCCAACGACCCGTATTCTTGGGCTTCGCAACGAAGGTTACTGCATCCGCGGATTCTCTGTTGCATCAACCCTTGACACAGCAGAAAATCAGGATGCTGGACGCAATTCACCACCTTGACAGGTATGGGACGCGCTGTCGAGACACATTCCAATGCTAACGGCAGATGCTTCTCAAGGACCGTGCGGCCACAACATCACCCTCATTTACCGTGTCGAAGGACGTTTGATCTCTGCCTTTTGCCTACAACTCTATGAAGACGCATACAATGCTACCCACAATACTCTTCTGTTTGTTGGTCGAAGTTCCAGCTACGTATGCTGTAGCAGGCTCGAGTAGACATCATGGTTTGGCGCCGCATGGGTTGGGGAGACTGTTCCATGCTCCAGCAAGACGCCATATCGCTCATGCGGATATTGTAAAGGTTAGGAAGTTTCTGCGTGTGTTGGGGTCGCCGTTTACTGACAGTCATTAGCTAGTATCGCGACAATCGTCTCCTCCATTTACGACCGACCCGGATTGCACATTGTATGATGGATATTTCTACGTCACGCCGCGAAACTATACCTGGCAGTTGCAATGCTCGAACACCTACGATGGCGTTATCCTGGCTCAGACAACAGACATCACGGACTTGGTTTCATGCATCGAAGAGTGTGTCAATTACAATCGCCTAAACACACCGGGTGCCTGCTTAGCAGTGACCTTCAATGGTGCCTATGCTACGGCGGATACTGTCTGCACCCAATTCAGCGACGTGACATCGGTTGGGATTGCATCTGAAGAAGGAGGTAAGCGTTCTCAGCTTCTGACTTGTCGAGTCGAAGGACTTGGACTCGCGTTCCTGAACACAAGATTGTGAGCTGGTTTGCAGATCCTGTTTTAGAGGAGATAGAAAGATTGAATGAGTTCAAAGCTGACCGGAAATACAGGCTTCGAGAACTCGGCTCTGTTGATCCTTGGTCCGAATAGTGAAATTTTCGCGACGGTAGGTTCCCTGAAGCCGCAGGTGCAGCACTTCAAGAGCTTTGGTGCATTCTCCCGTCGTTCATGTTCGAGGCTAACGACACATCAGCCCCAGCCAGAGCCATCATTCTCTGGGGCACCATCGCAACCGCCAACTGCTGATCCAGTGCCTCCCTCGACCACAACAACCTCAGCTGCAACCACGACAACAAGCACGCTCCTATTGACCTCGAATTCGCAAACTGTGAGCACTTCGTATGCCATTTTCACCACCACCACGACTTCATACAGTACAGTCCTTGTCACGTCGTGCCCTGCAGGAAGCGCGTCGTGCCAGCAGAGCACGACCCTTATCCCTTTTCCCTCGACGGATGGGCCGGGTACATCGGCGAGCAGTCTTCAAACTACAAATGCATCGTTCATAAACATCACCGATGGTGGCTCTAGGCCCGCCACATCGAGGACAACAACTCTTAGCAGCAATGCATCAGGGGCCTTCACATTTGATGCGGGTCAGACAACATTTACGACAATTATCCCGTTCACCGAATATAGGCTTCAGATAATCGAGGTCTGTACAGCAACACCGACGCCATGCTCACAGTCGACCAGCACGACAACAAGAGTAGGACTCAGAACACAGATATCTTGTTCTCCCGGCCCGTGTATCGGTGTAGCGCCAGCTACGGGGTTTATGGTCGATGCGCTTGCTACCGGAGCTTGCATCGTTCCTTGAGGTTGCTGGAGGAGTGGTCTGGCGGGGAGAATTTGGTAGTGGAGGATCTCCTTCTTGTGCCATCAAGCATCTAGGTGGATTTTGGAACACTGAAGCTGGGTAACGGGATGTTGCTTTATTGCAGAGATGATTCATGGTGAGAGCCAGAGAGGGCATTATTCAAGTCGCGAGAGAGTTTCGGGGAATTTTTAGTCAATTGGAAAGCTTGGTATGGATTAATCCGAACCCGGCGACCCGGAACGGACAATGATTTTGCCGAGCCGATGATCTGCCGAGAGTCCACATCTCGCACATCTAAACAACATCAAACATATTCGCTTCCCTTTACTCCCTCCTCTTTCTGTAAAGCACACCCGACATCATATGCGACCAGATCTCACTGCATCTCCATTCTGTTCGGAGCTGCAAGCCCACTGTAACAATGGGAATTCGTGCCATTGATCAATGTCGCGCTTCCTGTGCCAAAAATACCACTTATTATATGTTGCGCACGGGGACGCCATTGTTGTTTCCCTTTGTTTCGTGATTCACTAACGTGTTGCCGGTAAGTGAAGGGTGAAGTCTTCATTGTCTGCCGCAGCCTCCATATCTGGGAGTTCTGCCACTCTACTTTGATCAGTACATAGTCAATTTGCTCCTTCATCTTCCGGTTGCCACCAACTCTTCGGAACCTTGTAGCCGTCTTCCTGTCCGCGAAGATGACGTCCTCACCTCTCTTTGCGATAGCCCTAGCAATATTTGCCACCTTCCTGAGACTGGTGAGCGGAGATTCGTCCTCAGCATGCAATCCTCTGAATGGTGAGTAAACCTGGTCCACGTAGTGCTTCTCTTCAACTTTCTGCTAACCCACAACTGAGCAGGCCCGTGCCCTGCGATCCCTGGCTTAGCAACTGGCGAGTATTTCATGGATTTTACCCAACAAACCACGACGCCCTCAGACTGGATCCTCGCGGACTACGCCACTGTCGGCTACGGGCCTAACGGTGCTAATTTTACCTTCGCGAAGCGTTATGATGCTCCCTATATTTGGACTCGCTTCTATCTTCTCTTCGGTCGAATTGAAGTGGTTGTGCGGGCGGCCCCAGGCGCTGGCATTATCACAAGTTCAGTCATGATGTCGGACGATCTTGACGAGATAGACTGGGAGTGGTCGGGAAACAACTTTGCCGGATCCAGTGGTGCCGTGCAGACCAATTATTTTGGCAAAGGACAGGTTGGAAATTCTGACCGCGGTTCCCAACCTGTCGTGGATGATCCCGAACACAAATTCCACACATATTCCCTAGACTGGCAACCGGATAAGTTGGTGTGGTCTATTGATGATGTGGCCGTTAGGACATTGGAAAACAATGGCGCAACTACTGGGTCGTACCAGTATCCGCAGACACCTTCCCGACTGCACCTAGGCCTCTGGTGCTCGGGAGACCCAAGCACTCCTTATGGGACAGTGTATTGGGGCGGCGGATACACGAATTTCAGCGCCGCTCCGTTCTCAGCGTATGTGAAATCCGTCAAGATCACGACTAACAATGTCTGTTCAAGCTGGCAATATCCTAGTCCATTTGATGGCACTTACCAGTCCGTGCAATGCACGAACCAAACAATTGCACTTCCATGTACCTATACGGTCGTTGCAGGCGATGACGGCTCCAAGATTGCCAAAAACTTGACGGTCAATTTCGATACCCTCAAGGGAGCCAATCCTGGAGTCAACTGGGATCAACTGTTGATCGGCCAGGTGCTTAACGTTCCTGGCGGTACTTGTCAAATTTCAACCATGACATCAACGTCTGTCACCTCTAGTGTTTCTTTTTCTTCTTCGATGACTAGTTCTGCAACATTTTCTTCAACTGCATCGTTCACTTCGAACTTGACCAGTTGGACGAGTGCTTCCTCCCTTTACACATCGCCTTCTAGCTCATCTCTAACATCCTCATCCACGACCACTTCAGCATTCTCGAGTTTGGCTTCTTCAAGCCCAACAGCTTTATCAACAGCGCAACCAAGCTATTCAAGCATGCCATCTTCGGCGAGCACAACAGCAAGCGGAACAACTTCGGCACAACCAAACTCGAATTCCACCCCCGCTGTCATGGCAACTTCTACCTCAGCTTTGATCACGGTTACCTCGACTACTGGCACCAGCTCGTTTACTACTCTTTGTACGACAGCTGGTGTAGATAGCACCGCCACCGCCGCCGCAACAACATCGTCAGCTCCATCTCAATCCACAAACTCCTACACCGTGGTTGCTGGTGACTATGGTTGGGCTATTGCGAACGCACTGGGCTGCTCTTGGGATGACCTGAACGCTGCAAATCCCGGGGTGAATTGGGATAATTTGCAGATTGGGCAAACGTTGAATGTCCCAACTCAGACTACTAGCTATTCAACATCGACGGCTTCGTCGAGCTCTGGCCCTGCTGTCACCTCTGATTCGACCTCCGGAGGCCAGTGGACGTCGTCCACCTCGGCGGCTGCTTCAGACTCTGCTTCTGTTGCTCCCTCAGGCCCAGTTACTACCTCTACTCCTGTCACCCCCTCAGGCTCAACCGGTATTTCTGCATCTGTCGCTCCTTCAGGATCAACGAATACCTCTGGGTGTGGCTCTGGTCAGCCATGTGGAGGTCAAGTTGGAAACCAGTCAAGCAGTTCTCAACCAGCTTTGGCAAGCTCAGCTGTCCCAACATCAACTTCTGTTTCCACCAGTCCAACTGTTTCATCCTCCGCAAGTGCCGCTTACGCCAGTGGCACAACACCCAGTGGAGCGGCCGGCACGAGTCCAACCAGCCCAGTTTCATCAACATCAGCATCTGCTGGTCCCGAGACGTCGCCAGTGAGCCAATTAACGTCCTCTCAGCCAGTTACCCGCTCGAATGCCGTGAACCCAGTCACACCTACACCGTCATCCTTGTCTAAGATGATTTGCAACCAAGATAACTGCCTCCGCAATTTGATCGATCCTCGTTATTCATCAACTATGCGTAACTTCTGTTCATCCTACACCACCAAAGCATCCAATACTGCCCCTCTGCCGACATTCTTGGCCGGCTGCTCGGCGGATGCTCGGCGAGTGAGTAGCGCTTGTTCTTGTTTGATAACTAGCTTTGGCACGGGCACAGCGACTTCGGGGACACCGGCTATGACGGGACCACCTCTACGCGCAGGGAGTCCGTCGTGGAAGCAGACACCATCTTGGAAATTGAAGCGGTCGCCTTTGAGATGGAATCGACCGGCTCTGTAAGTAGGGACGCAGCATCGAGCATTCTATTTTGATCCAGGAATTGGTTCAGGAACCTGGATAAGCTGGTCGTTGTGGAACTGTGTAATCAATGTATTCAGGAAAATGAGACTTTGCATATTGACTTTTTTACCCATAGACTCCCTTTCACCTCAATGGTGTCAAAACCTTTTCCCTTGTTCGCATCTTAGGACCACCCCGACACTGATATTTGCAGACCTAACTTTGGGTTCACAAGGTCGATGAATTGTTGACAGTCAGAGCAAGGCTCTCAACTAATCAGAATACTTTGCCTGCTTAAGCATAACAAGGGGCGGGCTCGAAGCAAGTTTGTCGGAGCAGACCTTCGCTTTGATGCCGAAGGTCAACTTTCTCGAATGATTCCTTCAACACCTCCAGTACGCTCTCTGATCCTCGATTCTCGTAAGTCGGGGCCATCACGGACCAAGCATCGCTAGGTGCGCTGACTTCATCTTTCAAAAAAACGTGCCGACTGGTGAATAGGCGATTATTTTCTTCTCAGCATGGCAGGAATCGTATTGTCCCCTCGTGCCCTGGTCTTTTGGGTGAGACACAAGCGGATGACCGACGATCTTTTCGATTCTCATGACTTCGGACGTCCAGCTGCGGCTCGGGGACTTGTGGTGCGTCAGACCAGCCACTCATCGCCGATACCGAGAAATACGGGTGCCCTCGTTCAAGCCGTGAAATCGTCTTCCATTCGTTTGGAACCTGGTATGCAGCAACAAGAGCAGAAAGTCGAATGACAGTCTCTTTTTGGCAGAAGACGTGATGGTCATAGTTGCTCTTCGGAACAGAGGGTACGTCTTCGGTGGCATCGCTCAGCAGGTGGACAATCATTCTCCGTACTTGGTTGGCCACGTATGTAATTTCTTTGTAGACTTGAATTTCTCTCCCCCAGCGACGATACCGTTCACCTCCATTTCGAGTGGATGGCTCGGCCAATTGCATCGCAGTGAAGCCCTCGCCGTCTTCCAAGTTTTTGTCGGCTCCAAAATCAAGAAGGTGTTTCACATTCTCATACCGTCCCCACAATGCAGCTTCCATCAACGGACTTCTTCCCCGGAAACTGCTCAGCAACCGCCAAATACAAGGCCGACTTCCCGGATTCGTCAACTCCATGAAGATATGTGCTTCTGCAGAATTATCGAGGGATTCTTGTACAGTTTTCTTGTCACTGGGCTCCATCCGGCTCGCAATGTGGTCGATTCTTTTCATGATGAGTGGTTGATGATCAACTCCAGGTACAGCTGGCAATGGACCCAGTATTTTAGTCTCAAGGGCGTCACTCCATCTTGGCAACCCCTTGGTGCTTTCGTCATTCTCCAGGTCTTCGGTTGTCTGCTTGGCCGCCTCTAGTCTTCACGCGGATAGATCCTCACTGATCGCAACATATCTCCTATTGACCTTGTAATCTCGTATGTTGTCTAACCGCCTTTTCCGGAGAACGGATATTCAAACTCATTTGAATGGAAACCGAGTAGATGAGCGCATTCGCAATGTGCCACGCGGGTGTTTGTGTCGTAGCTTCCGCCATACCCATTCGTGTAGGTTTTGAGGCATATGGGACACTTTATCTTGACTTTGCGCCACTCCCAGCATGGGACTTTCGCACGGAGAATGGAAAGCTCCATATTGGTTGGGCCATCTCATAGGCGAAACTGGACTGCAGGAGTCGAGATAATAAAATTTGAGTGACGGACAGCAGGAGATGGTTCATGCCCACTCTAGTGGTTTGCTTCACAATCCTGCTTCGCAAGGCTGAAACCCTCGCGAGGCTGATCGAATTAGTCATTGTCTTGGCATAAATCTTGGCGCCCACGAAAAATGCGCCCGCTCCAGCGTCTTGATTCGGGCGTCAATTTTCGAGCTCGACTTTCTCAAACGTCTCCGCCTCAACTGCAAGCAAAATCTCCCGTACGGTTCAGCGCCCCTAGGCCGCGGCTTCTCGATTACTGATTTCTTCGCAGATCGTCTTGCCTGACAACCCGCCAAAATGACGAAGGGAACGAGTTCATTCGGAAAGAGTGAGGAATCATCTACAATCTCCGCCTAGAATTGCGAAGCGATTTGAGAAGAACGGTTTTCTGACGGATGATTATGAATAGGACACAACAAGACGCATACTCTGTGCCGGAGGTATGTTGCCTCTTCCGGGTTTTCTCGGTCTTGTTTTCGCGATTGGGAACCCTCCAAGGAAATACCGAGTTGGACTCGTGGGCTGACTTGATTCGGTTGATACAGATGCGGTCGTCGAAGCATGCATATCCAGAAACACACCTGCGCGAACTGCGGAGTACGTCGAAAAGCCTTGAAATCTCTCGTCATCCCCGCTACCTCCTCCCTACCCACGCGTCCCCCGGCCATTCAACTTTGGATCATACAATTGCCGACGATTTTGGGAATTGGGCGACTGACTGTTCGCTGTAGTATCCTGCTGCTAAGACCCGCAAATACGAATGGAGCGAGAAGGCGAAGAGACGCAAGACCACGGGCACTGGCCGAATGAGGTATTTGAAGTTGGTTGCTCGGTAAGGACTCCTACTGTTCGTGTGTCTCAGACTTGATAGAAGGAGGTGGACTATGGATCAAAGGGCGAAAAGCTCTCCAATGGAGGATTGGAAAAGAAATACGTCAAACCTTTCAATGCGTTGATGAGCCAGGATGGAATGATCGTAAAAGCGATTGGGCACTGGGGCTAACGAAGTTTGTGATTACAGGAAAGCCAGCAACGCGTTCCGGACTGGTGCACCCAAGGGTGCTCGTGGACCTGCAAAGGCATGATTGGAGTGATGGGATAACGTGTGGAAGGGCAATCACGATTTCGCATTGAAATGCATTGAAACGTGGCTTGCCGGCGAGGAAAGCTCAATGCGACAAGCATTAGCGGTGCATGGCTGTGTGCGTCTCGACAAAGGCGAGGCAAAGGCGATTCATGAACAGGGAGTGTCAGCTGCAGAAGGTATGAACGACGCTATTCTCCTGGTCATATTCATGGGGCGCAATCAGATGCGGAGGCATTGCGTGGTTCAGATAAAAGACAAAAACAGAAAGGGCAACATTTTCTTGCTTTTCAAGCATGTCTGAGGACGATTTCGAAAAGTCCCCCAAGAATTGAGAAAATTTACCATCGAAACTCTCCTTTGATTTCCCCCGAAGTCAAGCTAGTCTTTCTGCCCTTTTAAGCCATTGACAATACAGACTTGTAAAGAGTTCCGCTACCGACACGACTATTCGACATCTTTCACCGTCGTGCTCGTCGCTCAAAATAGCCACTTCAACACGCCGGACAGCCTAATCCGTATTGTTCATCAGAGGGAGAGTAGAGAGGCCGAGGAACGATAACAAGAGGATAGAAAGAGAGAAAAAAAAATTATTGAGAGTTATATCTCTTGTCCCCAGACATACAAAAATGCCTCCGGTAATCCCCCCTCCGTTGGCACAATACATCCACTCCTCCCTCTTCTCTCCGTGCCCGCACAGCCAAACCCTCATCACCTCCGTCCTCAGCACGCCTTCGCCCTGGCTGGTCCTCCGGTTCATCTACGCGGCACTGTACGGCGTCGAGGATGGCGCCAGGGGGGATGGTAGCGATGCGGGCAGCAGACATGAAAAGATGACGACGATGACGCCGCCGCTCCCAGTTGTCTTTGCGAGTTTCCTCCGTCCTTTGACTCTGTGGGTTGAGATGGGGAAGAAGTTGGTAGGTTTTCTTTTCGCTGTTTGTTTTTTTTTTTCTTCTAAATTTTAGAGTTTCCCTTCTTGCCTCTCAGAGGCTCGAGCATGCTCTGAAAACTGAAGTCTCGCAGCTTTTTCTGCTGTTGAAAATTTCACTTGTCGCCCCGTCGTTCTGAATGAGTCTTGGATGTGGAGCGATCAGTCTCGGTGGGCGAGCGCGAAACTTCAACGCTGACCTCTCAGCAGGGTCTGGATATCCCGTCGTTGCTCCGGAGCAGGAAAATGTTCTATGTCGATGGGCTCAGCTACGGCTCACCGCCTCCTGTATCGGTGCTAGGAGGTGGAGGAGAAGGAGCAGACCTGGCTCTCGCAACGACGAGGCTCAAGTCACTGGCTTTGAACGATGTACAGGACGCTTTGAGCGCAGCATTGAAGAGCGTCTCTACAACTATGTCTAGCTCAGCGTCGATATCGAGGCCACCATCAGGCACCCCGACGCCACGAATGCCCACGGCACTGACCTCGTCCACTCAAAGCCCCAAAGCCGCAAAGCCTTTCGTTCTTCTCGACGGCATCGACTTTCTCGTCGCCTGCCAGCCTTTCCTCTCAACACTATCTGTACAAGCATTCCTGTCCTCCCTCCGAATTCAATCCGACGTTCTGTTGCTCGCCTGCAATGCCGACCCTCCGTTGCTACACCGTGCTACGCCCACCAGCGAAGGGACGCTGTTGGAACGTAACCATGCACATCTCGTGACTGCCATGGCTCATCAGAGCCGATGGGTTTTGCAACTCAGAGGATTGGACACGGGCAGTGCAAAGGATGTGTCTGGCGTAATAAGGGCAAGCAAGGGTGGTTGTTACGAAGGCAACGAAGATGGGTTTGACGAGTCGAGCCACTCAAGGGCTGGAAATGTCGATGAACTAGACGATGCCGAGTGGCTCTATCAACTCAAAGGAGACGGGTCTGCTAGGGTTTGGGGTCGTGGCGAATGAATCCTTGTAGCCTGGTCGTGTCTGTTCTATCAAGAGGTTCTGGAAACTGAAAGACCTGCTGCTATCACACAGTGTCGCACTGCACAACGTCTTCCTGATATACTTGAAGACCTAGGACCCCTAAACATACTCTCGTGTGCTTGCCGTGTGAACCCTACATCCTGGCCGCAAAATTTGTGACCAAGGAGCAGTACGAGCGCAATTTGATTCAAATAGCCGGAAGAAATTCCGCTTTCGGTCTCAACGGTCTTTAGATGTGCGGATGATGCCATCTTCGCTGACCATTCCTCAATACATCTCTCGGCCGACAGAAAGACTCTGCTTCGGGAATTATGTGTCTTATATCGACGGGATCTCCTCAGTCTGCCTCATAGTAGACAGTGATTGGTAGCTGTTGATCCTGCGTGGTAGAGCCTGGTGATTGATCACTTAGCTCCTTTCGCAAAGAATGTCGGATCCATTCTGGTACACGTATCCCTCCCCATTGGAAGGGTATCAAGACCTCCCGCCACTCCCAGATGACTTAAATGAGGATGGAAAGTCTTTCAAGAATCCTCAGACGGGTATCCTAAGCGAGAGCTACCAGAAATTCACCTCTGGCGTAACAAATGGCCCGCGGGGTGGGTTTGACGTCCACATCTACTACCATCTCAACAGTGACGAGCAGAAGGACTTTGCCCGGGCATTATGGGAGAGGATTCGAAGGGAGTTTCCGGAGCTGAGGTGAGTTGTTCTGGCTCTCTGGCAATGCTCCCCTTGCTGATTTAACCCTTTAGGATCTATCGCTTCTGGGATCATCCGGTTGGACCACATACAATGGCCATGTTTGAGGTTAATCTCTTCACACCGGCGCAATTCGGGGCTTTCATTCCATGGCTGATCATCAATCGAGGGCCCTTGTCTGCTCTTGTCCATCCCAATCATGAAGATGGCGATGCGTTGAGGGACCACAGTCAAAGAGCCACCTGGCTGGGAGAGCGCGTGCCACTTGATTTGGGCATGTTGAGGAAGTTTATGAACAAAAGGACAAGTGAGCGAGTAAATGGGAAGACAGAATAGGAGCAATGTGTATGGCTGTCGCAGTGGATCGTGAAAGAGTCTTTGTGTGTTATTGTCTCTCAATACACTCGCCTTCTTCTGACATGCGTTTTCCTCTGGGAGCGTTCGACGCTCGACCGCCCTGAAATTCACCTTCCTGTTTGTTGTCCCGCGTTTTCTATTGTCGCCACCTACCGCCTCGTTCAAAGTGCAGTATCCGCTTGCTTGATGTTCCGCGTGAAGGCAGTGCCACTGGTACCCGGCTCGGTGACAATTCCTAACGAGTTCTCCAAGCGAGAAGATCTTCTTCCTGCAACAATCATCGAACCACTCAATCCTGGAAGCTGTCCCAGCCCTCCAACCTCTCGGCTAGTTGATCTCATTGAAGACCTTGATATCATGTATTCCCGCGCGGCGCACTCTTTTTCCAGGGCGCCATCGTTGGAAGAGGAAGGCACTGGGGATGATTTGGGACGATACTTCCCGCGGCGACAGCAAGGAATAGAGATCTCTGAATCTGAGTTTGAGCTTGAAGATGAGGACGAAGAATATGAGGACGGGACTGAGGAGCGAAGACCTTCAAAATATGATGTGAAACCACCTGCGAGACTCTCAGTCCAACCTCGAGACGCGACAGCTTCCACGCATTCCACTCCCCGATCCGTCTATAGAAGTTCTAAAATACAGCACTCGCAGCAAGCGACTCCTACTGGCGCAAGATCTCCGATCTCTACACCCCGCCGCTCAGAAGCATCTCGATTCCGTGGTAGCGGTCGGAGTCTTCCGTCTCGAGCACCACCGACACCAGAGTTCTCTCTTCCCGAGGACATCGTCGCTGCTGCAAAGGATGACCTTTATGACGAGAACAATGCAGAGGATACTAAAGGATCCGCCTTTGTCGAACGAAATCTTCGAAAGAGAACTCTTCAACAGACAAAGCCTGACAAATTCGACAAGCACCGATATAACCTATCCCGGAAGACTGGCCATGAGGCTAACCCCAAAAAGGTGGAGAAGGCAATCCAAGATGAGATCGGAGTGAGGGAACACAAACAAACCAAGAAGAAACCTCGAGGATCAAGTAGGAACTCGACCAAAAGCAAAGCCAAAACTTCGACCCCGAGGGAGCAGACTGCGGACAAACGCCGTCTATCTAACTCAGCCGGTTCAGTCTCCCCTTCACCAGAGACTGATAGCGAGCATGTCTTCGACCCGGCGAGGACCACGCTGCGCGTGTGTTTGGACGGCTTTCATGGTGGCGCAGCGATCCCAATTCCCCTCAACGAATGTGACAGCAATGACAAGCGGGTCGATTCCATTCTCAAGTTCTGGGGGTGGAAGTTCACTGGGACCGGCTTCTCTTACGCAATCGTGTCGTTTCCGTGGTTGACCGAGCAATCCAACATTCTACTTCGCCCTGGATTGCCCGAGAGCTTCAAGGGCATGAGGGCCGAGATTGAAAATGCACCTATCCGGGCCGAAGGGCGACATGAGAGATGTGACGTTCAGGTGACGGTTTACCAGCAACAATGAGGGTTTGGCAACAGACCCGATTTCTATGAAATATTTCAAGGCTGTGATGGTGGAGACGGTTGACAAGATGCGAACCACGAATTCAGGGACATCAGCACACGGGCGAGAGAGCACTAGGACTATTATCCTTCAGGAGGGAGAAGAGGATCTGGCCAGGGGGGAAGATGTTAACAAACTCTGCGCGTTTAGTTGGTGGACTAGTGTAACAGAAAACATGAAACGAGCAAAGCTCTGAGCCTTATCCACGCCTGCTGTTGGCCCGCGGCCAATGCCGCAGCGTTGGCTCGGTGTTCCTAGGTTCTCTATAACCAGTCGGCTGTCGAGCTGCACAGGGACCACTTGGTGAGAAGCCCCTGAATATTCCTCGATGAAAAACGGCCTGATCCTGATCGGGTAGCGAGGTCACAAGAGATGAGGACGAAGCGAAAGAAAGAACTCTTGATCTTCTCCTCGTCTATCTCTGACACTTATTTTTCCCGCTGAATTTTTCTCGAACCTGTCGTCCTCCCTGCCACGACGCTGCGCTGCGGATTGACATTGACGCATGCGGCACCATTTGACTTTCTGAGCGACCCGCCGTCACGTCCGTCAAGTGTGCCTCTTGCGCGCCTCTAACGCAGGTTCAAGTGGTTCTGCTGCAGTAGTCGACCTCGCTGCTCTGGAGTTCGGCGCCCTGCAAATTACCAATTACCCCATATTCTGGTCGAAAGCAGCACCAGCACCAGCACCAGCGCCAGCACGGGCTTCGACGAACGGCAGTCGCTTATATCCCATTTCTACGCATCCAAAACCCTCATCTGGCCTCTCGCTGTCGCCGACTCTGATAAACCCATCGCTCGGTCACTTTCCACTCACTTGGCTCCGTCCTCCACCGCATTTTTGATCTCACTTCACTCTCTCGTGCAACCTCTTCCCCCAAAGGGTCCCTTTCGCTTTGCGTCTGCGCTGGTCGCCCCCCTGGTTCGTTGTGCCGAATCGAATCAAGTCCTCACTACGCCCTGTGTCTCAATCGTATCCTCCACGAATGATCAGTCAGTTGTCGAACACCAAGCAGCAAGCACCTTCCGCCAACCACTCACACCACCCGTCCGTTCTCCTCACGTCAGCACCCGCGCCTGCTACCACGCGCGTTCAATTCGCGATTACTCCGAATTGGCTGTTCGGCAACAACCCCTCTCCGATACTTGATCTGAGACCTCCGACGCCATGACTTCTCCTACTCCTCTCGCTCGCAATGAGTCCCAAGCCTCCAGCCGTCGAAGCACCAGTCTCGGCTCTCGCTTGTTTCGATCAAAGAGCGGCGAAGCTCTGGGTGAACGCAAGACCTCGGCAAGCCGTCTGAAAAAGAAGCACCAAGAGATGGACGAAGCGGTAAAGGTCACACAATCACCTCCTCGCCTGCCAAACTACAATCCGCAGCCGTTGGGCATTCAATCCTTTGGTGGTGAGAACTACAATCCTCAGGCCGCCTCCAGAGAGCATGCGAATGGCGCGAAGAACACTCCTCCCGTACCCCCTTTGCCCGGGAACATTGAAAAGGAGGCTATTGATCCATATGCGAGGACTGAGAGCATGACCCACCGTAAGTTGAGCTGCATTGACGTGATAGCATGACAAGGCTGACTCATTCCCGACAGGTGGCCGATATTCCTATGCGAACTCGACCGTGTCTACCATCAACTCACCTCGGAGAGTTCGACGTCGCAAGGATCCCACCCCCTACAACGTTCTCATCATCGGTGCCCGAAATGTCGGCAAGACCTCCTTTCTTAACTTCCTCAAGAGCTCCCTTGCTTTGCCAGCAAAGAAACAACCGACTCGAGCTCCAGATGGCGACACACCTCCCTCGTCTGCGAGAGCGAACCCTAACTTTGTCCACCACTACCAGGAGATCGAGGTCGACGGTGAGCGAATTGGTTTGACATTGTGGGATTCTCAAGGATTGGACAAGGGCGTTGTTGACCTCCAATTGAGAGATATGAGCAACTTCGTGGAAAGCAAATTTGACGACACATTCCTCGAAGAGATGAAGGTCGTTCGTGCCCCAGGCGTCAGAGATACGCACATTCACTGTGTCTTCTTCGTCCTTGACCCGGCCCGGCTGGACGCCAACATCAACGCTGCTCAGGGTGTGAGCAACGGGGTTGAAGCCACGCGGGTCGGCAAGCCGTCTCGACTTGTCGGCGCCCTCGACGAGGACTTTGACATTCAAGTCATAAGGACTTTGGCCAGCAAAACCACCGTCATACCCGTCATCAGCAAGGCAGATACCATCACAACTGCGCACATGGCGTTTCTGAAACAAAAGGTCAGCCGAAGTCTGAAAAAGGCCGGCCTTGATCCCCTGGAAGCCTTGAGTTTTGATGCCGAGGACGAGGATGACGAACGTCTGGATGAGCGCGACGAAGATGAAAACAGCAGCGCTGCAGATTCAGAAGACCAGACTTCAACCCGGAGCGACGGCTCTGATGCCGATCGAGACCCCTCGACTGTCAAACGGCCAGGCAACCACAAGCGCCAAGTTTCCGCCGAGGACGCCGTGCTTGACAGTGGCTATGTTCCGTGGTCCATCCTCAGCCCGGACAAATACTCCCTCGAAGCAAAGGACGGTCCGGTTGGTCGACATTTCCCGTGGGGATTTGCTGACCCGTACAATCCTGATCATTGTGACTTTGTCAAGTTGAAGGACGCTGTATTTGGAGAATGGCGATCCGAGTTGCGAGAGGCCAGTCGCGAAGTGGTAAGTCTCACATATCTCTCAGGAGCGTAAACTCCTTACTAACAGTGCTTAGTTCTATGAACGCTGGAGGACGAACCGTCTCAATCGCCGAACACTCCCAACCAATGCGACAAATGGCCTACCGTCAGGACCTCGACAAAGCACTGGCGGGATCCCCATTCCCCTCCAACCTCGGGTGCGATAAGTGAAAGGTATTCTGTACAACAAATGTACAACAAATGTGAAAATTACCGGCCAACATCGATCGAATTGAAGACGATAACTGGAGGGCAGTGTTCGTCTGCATGCTATGGAAACATGTTCAAAAGTCAAAGGGCGAAGAAACTCGACCGAAGAAATTGAGTAAATGGGAAGGAAAGTGGAAGGGGAAGGGGGTTCTTGTCCAGGGGCAGGGAATGATGTGCGTGGGCGGCCCATTTGTTGATCTTTCGTCCATCCCTTGCATTACAGTGCCTTGGTTTTTGAACGACCTGACACGAGTCATGACACAACACAGCCTTTTCTCTTCTTGGAGGACATGACCCCGATTCTTGCGAGCGCAAATGCAGGCAAAGTTGGGCATGTTCACACACGTTTCCTTTGTTGACTTTTCAGGAGGTGCGGGCAACAAGACGGCGAGCGAGCGACTGAGCGTTGAGCATCGTGCACGTCGGCACTAAGCTGAGCTTGGTGTTGCAGAATGATGGAAGCCTTTGGTTTGGTGCAGGAGCTGAAATTGTAGCGAGCAGAGTTATCTACCAATACCCCTTTTTCCTTTTTCAACAATCACAACCTCTTCAACTGTCAACCATAGAAAGCCTGGCCACGTCCTCTACGAGTCTTTGACCTCACCACAGCGTCACTGTTGTGTAAATAAAGTGATCTTATATACTGGGAGGAAACTCTGTCAGGCCTTCGCAAACAGATTATTCTATCAAAAGGTGATATGAAAAAAAAAATACAACACAAAAAACAATCAACAGCCAGGATTCCCAAGGGGTCACCCACCTTGGTACTAACCGGCCGGCGTATAGCTTAAGTATGACTGAGCGGACGGGAAGTCCTGTTTTCTATACCCTGTGGTCGATTGCGGAGGAGTTTTGGCGGTGTGCAAGAGATATGTCCTGCGTCGGCAAGTCAATTTACCCAGTATACGCGGCGCGGTCACACCAGGCCGGGTACCCATCCTATCCTATTCCATGTGTTTAATCTGTACCACCTCCACCTCCTCCTGCACATACTACATGCACCGGCCAACACCGACTCTCAGTAGAACCACCTGTACTCGTGCGCAGCGGGCCCGTCGCGCAGCAGCTCCGAGGGGACGTCCCTGGCGCGGAGCTTCTTGCCGCCGTCCCTCACGGCCCGGAGGTTGCGTCGCTTGTTGTCGACGACCATCCAGGCTCCGAGGAGGAGCGTCAATGCACAGCCCACGGCGCCGAACGTCGCCGTCGTCACGAGCGCGGGGAGGTACTTGGGGCGGTCTTTGTTCTGGAAGATATTCGAACTGTGCAGGGTTAACGAACAAAGGGGGTGAGAATGTTAGTTATGATGTACCTCTGTATTTGACACTGGGGATTTGCTGGGTCGTCACATCACATACCTGACCACACCCATCAAGTTCGCCACGGGCACGCCCACGCTCGTCAACATGACCCGCTTGTTCTCGTCGGCGATGTTGTTGTTGTACCAGACATCCAGGATCACGCTCGGCGCGCTCGTGCCCCAGGTCATCATGAAACACGCAAAGTACGCCGTGTTTATTTGGCTTTCCAGATCCACGGCCGCGAAGATGATGAAGCCGATGCACGTGAACGCGAACCCCAGCGCGACGAAGGGGAATCGCAGGCGCGTAAAGTCCGAAGCAAACGCCAGGACTAGGAGCATCACCGCCCCTGTTATGTTGGGCGCGACGGTGTACAGGTTTGTTTTCACCGTCGAGTAGCCGAGCTGGTTAACGATGACGGGGAGGAAAAGCGAGACGGACTGCAGAGGCACACCGAGACAGATCTCGATCGCCAGAATCACCCAGCTAGTTGGGTGCTTGAAGATGGCCAGCGCAGAGCGCAGGTTGAATTTCTCGTTCACGACCGATGAAGAGTCGACCTGGATCCTGTAGAAGGCCAGCTGTTTCTCCTCCTCGGTCAGAAACTTGGCCGACTGCGCGTTATAAGGTAGGACCCAGAATGCGAAGAGCGAGAAGACCATGCTGCATCCGCCCTCGATGACGAAGAGGTATCGCCAGTCCGCGAGCGAGGTCGAGTGGATCTGGAACACACCGAAGGAGAGTAGGCCGCCGAAGGCGGAGGCAATGTTGGAGGCGGCGTAGAAGATCGCAAGGCGCCGGGCGAGTTCGCCACGGCGGTAGAACACTGCGAGTGAGTGCCTGTGAGCGGACGATTGAATACTGGTGGGAGGGGGGCCCAGAGGAGCTGGCGCGATCCTTACAGGTCTGGTAAAAGATGATGCTGGGGAAAAACCCTCCTTCGGCCTGTTACCACGATGCCCCATATATATATATATATCAGAATACAGTCTTTCTCAAGAGGGAAGCAGTTTTTGGAGGAGGGAAGGAACATACCATGCCCAAGAACCATCGACAAGCAAGAAGGCCTCCGAAATTCTTCACGGCGACGACCATGAGTGTGCTGAATCCGAAACACAGCATCATCAGCGGGAGGGTGCGACTTGGCCCGAATCTTTTGCTGGCCATGCCGACAATGGGTCCCGAGAGCACATAGGGGACGAAGAAGATGGACAGGATCAGGTTGTAATCATCCCCCTTCATGTTGAGTGTCTTTTCAAGTCCAGCAGTCTTTGCGTTGCCCAAATTCGATTTGTCCTAGCATTGCCCATGATCAGGATTCGGAAACAATTCTTCTTTGGCACACATTTTCTTGGGGAGGAGCGAGTATGTACGTCGCTTGTACCGAACACTCACCAGTGCATTGAAGAGGTACATGATGGCCAGCGTAGGGAGGATGCGCAAGTCAAACTTCCACACCAACCGTCTCTCTGCATCAGGGTCAATTGCCACACTCGCGGAGACGGTTTGGCCTTCTCCAACTGAAGTAACAGGTACCACGCCATCGTCCGTGATGGAGACTCTCTTATCGTCTTTGAGAGTGAGCATGGCCCCCCCGCTGCTGGGTTGCGTGTCCATGCTGGTTTCGACAACCTACCCACAGGAAGACGGTAGATAGAATCCGACGAGTCTGAACGGGGACAACACCAACGAACAACCACCTCTAGATATGTTGTTCCCACCTCTAGACAGCTGACTCTCAGGGGAGTTGTTGAGAGAAAACCAGATTCGCAGCTCGCTCCGTCCACGGAAAGAACCACGAGCGACATCATACATGTAAGCCAGTGAATCTGGCGGCGTTGCACCGGCTCATGGAAAGTCTGCCAGCGGCCTTTCTCTTCTGAGGCTAGAGATAAGAGCGCTATCAAAAGAGCAGCCCATCATATCGAGAGGAGGAAGAGAAGATCTCGCCGAGGGAAGGGCACTTACTGGAAAGAGCAGCAAAAGTGCAATCGCAACCTGGCGAGGAGACGGACCACCCCCAAGGAATTAGGGTCAAGTCTACCTAGGGACCCTTGATCCTTTCATGCATGTTTGCAGATCATATTCCCTCTGGCGAGGCGCCGAGAGTTGCGTCGAACACAAGGTGGCCGAGTTGGAGAGCCAAAGAAATCGAAGTATGATAAGAATGCGACCAGGTTAGTTACTGAAAGAGGACAAGGGGTTTGTTATCGCTGCAGAGGCCCCTGGTAGAGATGTCCGGTGGATGTCATCTGCTCGCATTGTGGACTTCTCCGTTCCCAGGCATTGTCATTGGCAGTGGAAGGCAACAAGAGGAAGATTGACGACCGCCATCATGGTCGGTACATAGATCTGGGGTTGCGGAGATCGACTAACTAATGAATGGCAAGTAACTTGACGGTTGCCGAAAGCTCCAGTTCAAGTCCTCCAACGGCTCTAGCTCGAAGACAACCTTCCTGGCTCTCTTAACAATACATGGTCGAATTGTCAGAGTCGAGAAGGGTTTTGGTAAAAGTATTTGCCATCAATGCCCGTGGCCACTTGATGAGTTTCGTGGCATCCTCTCGATCCCACAGGGTGTCGGTGGGCGCTTCTCCTGAACCGGAACACATTTCCAGCCACTTGACCAATTCATCATCCAGCGCGTCTGCAAAGACAAACAATTCGCCAGTTTGGGGCGTATTTCATCTGTCCATCGGAGCAGTGCATAATGCCACAAACCTCGCCATGGTCCAGGCCTTTTGGTGCTCCTTTCCCTTTGTTCCTGACGCCGGCGCGCCCGCTCACGCCGTCCCGAATTTTGGTAGTTCCACATATTTCGGTAGCATTTGTAGCCCAGATGCCTTGACACAGTTGGATGTAGCCGTCTTCTCTGGGGAGATCTTTCGCCCTCCCTTTCAAAAAGGACGGAGACCCCTTTCCAGTGGCAATACAGATTCCGACGCCTCACAGTGCCTGGCGACCGGTGACGAAACTGTCGATGACAACTGTACCTCCTTGGGACACGTCCCGCAGAGGCAGCAGAGTCTCGATCGCAGTGTCGATATCTAGGAATCGGTTTGAGAATATAATTCCACCGTCCAGCTTGGCACGGCCGATGTCAGTCTCTCCGATTCTCTCGGCCACATAACTGACCCTCGTATTCCCTTGCTTGACTGAAAAGTGATCTGGGTTTCCAAGCATGTCAGGTGTCGCAGCATATTCACCGCCCCAACCATGAAAAGCTACTGTCAATCGAATCTCTCCATCCTTGTCGACCAGAATCCTAGCACTAATCTGGTTGCCAGAATTTGCCGAGAGCTGTCAAACCTGTTGGCCCACCTGAACACAGATTAGACTAACAGAATCCTGGGTTGTCTCCACAAACCGTGTGAATAGCGCAGAGCGTGAACGTCAACGAGGTCGCCACCGCAGAGTGGGATAGTTGGAGATGAGGAGGAGGGATGGTTGTTAAGGAAATTCAGAGATGGCAGGAATAGACAAGAGCGAAACTCGCCCCGGAACTACTATCATCCCGAGCGCCAAGCCGCTGTCGCGTTCCCAACTTCATCCGGAGCCGAAAACGACGCAGCGGTCTTCTGATTGAGGAGTTACCAGGTCTTCGTGAGGAAATGGACAAAGACCTTCACTCCGTAGAATGCAGCCTCCAAGTCGGCATCTATGCAGTCAAGGTCGGGCTCGGGGGGCTCTTCCTTCTCGGGCTGCCTCGGGAGTTGGAAGCCAACCGAGCAGCGGCTATGCGTCTGGTATGCCAGCATGGTTAGTGAAAAAGTCGATACGAACCCCCTGACCATTCAAAGGCACATTCGAACAGCTCTGGTCGAGAACTTTGAGACATGGGCACGTACAAAGATGTGAAGATCATGTTTCAGCGTAGATTTGATATCCTCGTGTCCTGCCTCGTGATGTCGGCTAGTATGACCCTCCGTTGCTCCTTGGTGTTGCCATTACCTGCTTTGGCTAGGAGGGGATGCGCAAGAGCTAGTCCCATCCCAAGACCATGCCAGTGACAACCGCGAGCGTCATGGCCATGGGCTCAGGCAATCATTTTGGCGATTGTTGTAGATCGTCGCTGTCACCCGCTGTCACCCGCTGTAGTCTACCGGGGAGTCCCTCCTGATATATCTTACCGGTCCCGCGGACAATCTTTCTCCCCGAATGACAACTTATAACACCAAAAGCCATATTTCTCTTCTCCGTCCCTATTGATCCTAATATCTTTCTTCCATAACAGGGTTAAGCACCATTCAACTGAATTGGCATGATGTAACATGCAGCATGCAATTTACGTGGTGCCGACGACCACCAAAATCTTGTTCTCCGGTCGACCAACCAGAAGATTCAAGAGGGCGCGCTGTTGGCAAGAGAATCCGACATATATAACAAAAGAGTGCGGACACCCATTTTCGGACGTCCTTTGATGGAAAGAAAAGATGTCGTTGAAAGCAAGGTCAGGATGGTTGGCGGTTCCTTCAATCAGAAGGCTGAAATCAAGCCACGAAAACAGCTACCCAATTGGAATAGATGTAAATACTCCAATGTGACTAATGGGAAACGAAGCAAGGCTGATATATAAGATTTTTAGAAAATCACGTGATGCTCGCCCCTCTTCTAATGCAGCCTTGCGTCGAGTTCACGAAGGGGAGTCGACTGTCATTAGTAGAATCCTGTTCGGCACCTAAAAAAAAACCTGTTCATGGTGTATAAAGAGATGCGTAAAACTAGAGAAGAGGTATCGAGCCTCCGGGAAAATCCGACGTTTGTCGTGTGAAGTTTGTTCGATGGGAGTGAATCCCTAGACATGGAGTGACGGGGATCAGCACAACAGTCAAGCGCAGCTTGGATGCCTGACCGCGATTGCGACGGTAACATGCTCGTACATAGGTGGGCACATGCCAGAATCCCCTCTTTCATTAGTATGGAAGTCTGGAAAATCAATTCAAGGCCCCCAATGGCGTTCTGGAGGGTGTGCGCAGATTGTGTACACATGATGATGTTGGCTGCTCATCGAGGCCCCTTCAGTTGACACGTATCTATGACTATCACTCCCCCGCGAGGAAGGCGGGGGAGGACGACGGGCAAGGACCTGGCCGAGATACCGAAAGTTTGTTTGCGGGCTCGTCGGAGGGATGATAGTGATGATGAGGCCACAGAGGCGCCCATGGGACCGCGGAGGCAATCTCAATCCCCCCATGTTCCTCCTTCGGATTAGGCAGATAGTCTCGAAGAAGTCCCTCTCATGTAATTCCTTCCCTTCCGTTGTGATTCTCCTCTCTGGGTCTCTGCCAGGGTTGATAATCCCTACAAATGCCGCCGTCGGAGAGAATGTCTGCAGTCGACTCACTGACTTGGCCTCGACGGTGCAGATGGACCTGGCTTGCTTATGAGTGGTTGATTCTAAAGGGTATGGAATGTGGCTGGCATAGCTCATAGATGAGCTGTCATATGCCGACATCTCGATCAAAACCAAACTTAGAACAGCATAAATGCCAAGTCGTGGAGCTGTCATTGACCAATTAGTATTGCAAAAATCTATCTGAGGTTCTGTAGAAGCTACGGCCACAGCTATTCCCGACGGTCAATTGAGAGGAGTGGGGGCGCACCGAAATGGCCCGTATGATTTTCCAATTATCTCCCTCACAGCAAAACCTCGTCTTGAAGTTTCTCCTAGTCACTAGATACTTCGACTTATTTGTTGTTCACACAGGTCGGACCACCACCATCTTGCGCAAGCGCAGTTCAAGTCATCAATACGGTGGCCGGAAGCCGCTTGACTTTCGTCGACGCGCGTCCCGGGAGCTTGGGGTAGCCTCGAACTGCTTGCCACATCTCCAGGACCAGTACTTCGACACGGCGTAGTAGACATAGTTGTCGACGTTATTGAGGGTTTCTGGATACTGCTGGTTGAGGCTCCCGTATATATCTTTGATCTTCCTGGCTCTGTACGGGCCGTATCCGTGTTTCGGATTCGGACCCGCGTAGTCGTCGATGGTTCCCCCTCTGACGAAAATGTACCAGTCCGGGACGTGGATGAAGAACCAGGACCAGTGGACGTACTCGTGCAAGATGGTTGAGCCCGTGGTCTTCATCCAGTCGGAGTCGTAGTCCCCGAGGTTGTCGCAGGAATATCCAGGCAGAGGCCGGCCTTGGTTGTCTCTCGCCCACGGGGTCCGTGGTGGATCTGCGATGTCTTCGATTGATGGCCAGCCAAAATATGGGTCGCAGAGGTAGATGTTGGCGTTTCCCTGGTCCTTGTCTTCATACATAAAAGCATTAACCCTCGCAGTGCAACCTTGCCTGTCAGCTGTCAACAAGCTGTCCGAGATTGAAAGTCTTGACTGTCTGAATCTCGGATTCAGCTCTGTGTTGGGTGTGGTGAGGACCGACACCAGCGTTTGACCTGTAATGACTGCGTCCAAAGGTATGTTGGCAATGGTTCGAAAGATATTTTTCACAAAGTCCGCATCCTCTGGCCGGAAATACCGCAAGAATACCTGTGACGTCGGTTAGGATGAAACGCTCTTTGTGATATAACATCTTTGCATGGAGTGCCGCAGCGCTGGGAGTAGGAAACCTGCCTCTTCGCATGGACTGAATGTCAAAGCTGCTATCCTTGCAATGTGAATGGCATCTTCCAGCCCCTCCCAGACCCTCGCGATTTGCGCCTCAGGCGTACCAACGGGATACTATACCGCCGGTACGTTTTGGCATTGCGTTAGGTTCAGACCAAAAAAGTAGAGTAAGAGCAGTTGGAAGAAGAGATAAGTCCCCATGATGCAAAGGATTGATGATGATTTTCGTACAGCCACTCCCTAGCGTCGATTTATGAATGAAAGCACGCACTCAGCCACTGGAGCTTCGCAGAGAAGTCTGAACGTACAGCAGCCACCAGAAGAGAGGAACAGAATACAAGGGCGACAGCCATCCTAAATGCCTCTTGATGTTAGACAAAGCCCACCCTGGAGAGTAGGTTTCCCGATCATGTTAACTGTTTCGCGTATGTTTTGCTTGGCACTATAGAATATTCTCTATCGACAAGTCTTCTGCCACTAGATAGATGCCTCTCCTGTATTCAATATCAACCCGGTTATAGAATGCACGGCCCGCACCGCAGTGTGTGATCCGTCATTCTGCGATCCAGTACAGGACCGCCAACTTGTCTGTCAATGCGAGACTTGGGCATGGTAATCGTGGAACTGGGCAAAAGTAGCTGGAGTGTGGTGAAAGGGGTGATTCAACTTCACCGCTGTGTGAAATACCGAATGAGTCCGAAGCAGGGCCGACACTAGCCAAGGGGCCAAGTTGATTTCATACTCCCTTTCCAACTCCACTTCTTCAGCCTTGCCAGTTCTGATGCGCTCGAGCTTCAGGGTACTCTCAACCTTATCATACTGATACTTTGAACATATGAGAAAGGGAGGAGACGATGAATACCAAGAGAGCAGGAATGATGAGCGCTCAGTCTTGGACAGACAGAGAACATCCGGAAGCTGTCGACTTATCCACGTCGGGGAAGTTTGATTAAGAAGTGCACGTTGATCTTCATCCGACACGTTATTCTGTTTCTGACTGTCCCGCACGGTGAATGTAGAAGGAGTAGATGGATTGCAAGGCAACCTGGAACCTTTTGTAGGGGCATAGTGCTGTTCAGCCCAGAAACGCGTTCGTTGCGTCCAAAATAAACTGCACCGTCTCCTCGGGCCTACTGAGCATGGGCGAATGACTGCTTTTTATTTCTCTCAAGGTAATGTCTGCTCCTCCATCTCGCGCCATTTGCACAAACATTCTCTGTGCTTCTACCGGAAAGGCCTTGTCATTCTTGGTGGCAAGGTACCACACAGGCACCTCCATCCACCCGGCGGAAGTATGTTCATCACCTTCTGTCAATGTTTTCAGCGAGTGCTTGGTGAGCTCGCTGACCCACGCCTTGCCCTCCTCTTCAGAGAGGTCGTGGTAAAATAGTTCCTGAGGGTCGGCGACAATCACAGCGAAGCCGCTCTCCGGCTCGAGTTTCCAGGATGGCGGTGGTTGACCGCCGAGGCCGTCAAGGAAAGATTTTGCGGGAACAACAAAGCCAGATGTCATTACGATGAGGCTAATGACATGGCCAGATGTCCTGTTCTGTGCCGTTGTTGAGGATGAAGATGGAGTGTTATGTTTCCTTCTGGGCAAAGCGAAGCTCTTGATCGCACTTTGTCCTGGAATGCCACCATAGGAGTGCACCACAACCACGACACCTCGTCCTTGAGTGGTTTCGGCGAGAATGACGCTTCTGACAGCTTCGATATCATCTAGAAGAGTTGCCGTGGGGTCAGATTTGGTTGATGGGAGGGCCACAGGGATGCATTTGAATTGGTGTTCGGTCTCGAGAATGGCCGAAACCTTTTTTCCATGTGTCGGCACTGTGCCATGCTCCCGGCACAAAGACCAGAGGAGGCTTGGAAGACATAGAGACCGCTCTTGGAGGTTAGTGTGTAATGCTTCGGAATATGCACTGGCTCAAGGGATGGAAAGGATAACGAAATCAAGAGAAGAAACAGAAATCGTTGGTCGCCTGAAGCCAGAAAGGGCTCTTTTAAGGCCACAGTAATACTCATTTGATCTGCCGGCCGTGACAGCCCAGCATCTAATCCACGCAACTTGTTTCTGGGACCTTTTCGGGATAGATGTACCTATCCCGATACCATCTAGAGGGAGAGGTCTCCACCTTGTACCTTCCTAAAAGGTACTACGCAAAAAGCAGGATGTACAAACTACCGCGGAATGAGGCTTCCCGCGGCCCTTGTCCTGTGCCTACTCCATCTTCCTCCAGTTGGTTCCTGCATAGAGACTGGGTGGAGCAAGAGAAGGGGACAAATGGGACAAGAGCTGAGGGGCGAACGAAGCTGTTCTAGGAAAAGTACAGAATACGAGATGGATCCGCTCCAGCCTTTGATGGCCCTCGATGTCAATGTCCACTGTGCCATGTGGAGTGGAATTGCTATCAATTCGTCATTTATGTATTCAATCGTCAATTTGCTCGTGTCCATCTGATCGTCTGTGTCGGCCAGTTACGAAATACCTCAAACCTTAGCAGCAGCTCCAGTTCCATGCTAACTGTCAATCCTCCATAACCAAATACGCCAATCGAAATAACAAAGTCACGTCCAGAATCCATTTACTTCATCACCATTTCCTCCGCCAACGCCCGATCCCCCTGAAGCACCCGGTTGCTTGCCACCGTCCGCTCAATGATATCGCTCTATAAAGTGAAACCATCTCAAGCTCGAAACATCTTGACAACTTGCTTCACCGTCTTCCTGCAAATAGGGCAGAGTTCACACTGTCTGGCGCACTCGACGCAAGCGCACACATGCCCACAGTCGAAGAACAACGCATCAATCTCGTTGCCGTAGCAGATCTGGCACAAGTCTGCCTGCTCGTCTGCAACCTGCCAGAATGTGGTGCCCATTCCCCAGCGCTTGCCGTTCTCAAAGCCACCGACGTACTTGTTGCCTGTTCTAGCTTCCACAAAGGTACCTTGGCCATGCCGCTCGTCCTGGTGCCATTCGCCTTCGTAGGTGTCGCCATTACAGTACGTCATTTTGCCCCCTTTGCCACATTTTATGTTACAGACAAGGGGTCCCTCGTAGGTGTTGCCCGTGGAGCTGATACTGAAGCACTTTGCCCCATGGCACAGCCCGTTGACCAGGGGTCCTTTGTAATAGTCGGTTCCGAACTCCGCAAGCTCAACCGGTTCGGTGGTCGTCCTGGAGTGAACGGGATGCTGTCGCTCAACCATCCGTAAATAGTTGGATAGGTCGTGAGGGTTGGAGAATTTGCCTTCCTTCTCAAGCTCCTTGACCCGAGGTTCCGACACTGGTTCGTAGACGACAAGATCGCAGCCGTTGACAAACCTGGGGTCCAGGAAGGTATCCTCAGGTCCCACAATGGTTCCGTCAACCGTTGAGTGGCGACGCCAGGCGATAAAGTCCTTGTCGGCCCCATAACCAAGGCGCCTTTGCACGAAGTCTCTCACTCTTTCCTCCGACCTGGCAAAGAAGGTTCCTTGGACACGGAATGTCTGCCTATCAACATCGAAGACTTGAATGAAGCCATAGGTACTGTCAACGGGTCCTTGTTTCTCAGGGGGCGGTGACGAGGACTGCGACGACTCGCCGGACTGTGAGGCTGAATGGTCTGTAGAAGCAGATCCGGAGTTCATCACGAAATCCATGGCCTCAGAGCCTTCGCCAATGACCGCGGCAACCATGGATTCGGCGGTTTGAGACAATGTCGAGACTTCGGGCGCCAAAGATTGTTGAGTCTCATCGTTAACAGGCAGAGCCACAACATCGCCATGTGCTGCCGCGTCAATGAGATGGCCATGAGGCACATGTGCAGCTAAGCTCTCTTCGGCGGTAGGGGGTGGGGCCTCGAGCTGCATGCGCGTGTCCGAGTCATTGACCTCCACTGCCACAGCAGATGGTTGCTGTCCACCATCTGAGCTGCGCCCAATGTCGGCGGTAACAGCCACCCGAACCGAATCTTGTTCTGCATCGGGAGCAGCGACCTGCTCTTCACCGCCGTTGGCGACGCTGTCAGAGACTGATGCGTCACTTCTTGATTGTAACAGATCCGTATCCACTTGGACGCTTGTTCTGTCTGGTTCACCAAACAATTGGAGCTCGTCCTTGCTAAGCACTGACATCCACAAGCACAACGGTTGACCTGTAGCTCTGCCATTGCCGATAGTGTCCAACAGATGGACATTGAGCATTTGAGCCGTTGCATAAAACCCAATGCCACTGTAACCCATTCGGAAAAGTCGAATCATTTGAGGATCCTCAAGTCCCATCTTTGCGGCCAGGCGCTGCCTGAACTCTTGATATGTTGCATTTTTGGGGGAGCTCATGAGGTGGAACAGCCCCTTGTGTTGAGACTGTACTTTGATGTTGTACATGTCCAGCAGTCCCTCCCTTCCGACTATCCCCTCATCAGAGTAGACTTCGACATTGATCTCTTCCGAGTCCTCATCGGTGGTGTCTTCGGAGAAATTTCCATGCGCCTCCTGATATGAAGATTCAAGATAGGGCGCCAACCATTTCGGAAGCTGATACGGTTCCAGACCTCCCGGCAGGTAGTCGGCCAAGCAGCTGGTCTTAATGTACATTGCCATGTAAGCGGTTGTTCGGGTGGAGTTAAAATCCTTCAGAGCCTGCCCTTCGAGCCCTTCGAATGCTTGAATTCCCTTCCTGCTTAAGGAGAAAACCTGGTTGCCGTCTCCATCCTCAAAAGCGAGCCACATTGTGTTTGGCCCGTTTGGTCGCAAGACCGTGTAGAACTTCCCTGAATTTCTTACACCGGCATGAACCACGAATCCATAGAGAGTGTATTTGGCATCCTGAGTATCAGTGCTGAATTCCGAAACGTCAATCTCGTCGTTCAAGATCACACGGTCGTAAAGCAACTTCCATTCTCTTGTCTTCTTGTCAAACTTATCCCGAGCTAGCATAAGTGGCAAAAAATTTGGGAGACATCCTTTGAATTGGCTTTCACGCAAAACACGGGTGAGCGATTGCTGGATGTCGAGGACATTCTCAACGGGTAATGGTGGAAGGGAGATCGGACCGCTCGGACCGTCAAAGATTGCTTTCAGTGCCCTCAAGCTTTCTTGATCGCTGTCCAATTCAAGTTCGATGCTCCTCCGGAAGGCTTCCCAGAAAGTCTTGACATCAGTATACTCTTCTCCAAAGTCTCTCATTGCCTGAATCGCAGGATACAGATCCACGTAGGTTTCACGTTCCTTCCTTGACGTTCGCATCAAAAAGAGGATCATTTGGAGGTAAGCGATGAATGGCCTCGGTCGGATTTGGGAATTTCGCCGCCAGCCTCCGGCGTCGACGTTCTGAAGCAGTTTGCGGAAAGGAGCCAAAAGAAGCCATGCAGTCATCCCTGCCACTGCAGGGCTGTGATAGAGTGGAGGAGTTCCCATCGGAAAGTAACCTGCAAGTGATTTCGAGTCCCAGTGGGGTTCGCCCTCGGAGCTACGCCACCACAAGGCTTTCGTTGGGTCATCGAAGATGCGAATGTAGGCGTCGATGGCAATGGTGTCCTTCTGTAAAAGCGGTGCTCTTTGCAAGTGTTGTCGAAGGTGCACATCTCTCCAAGGCCCTGCAACACTTGACCAGCCCCAGTCATCCACATACTTGGAGAATTGTCCTTCCGTAGAGGCATACGCGCAAGTGCGTGGCTCCTCTGGGTTGTACATCACTATCCCGAGCTGGGCAGACAGTCGCCAAGTGTCCTCCGCTGGTTCTGGAGTGTTTTGTACGTCAAACGCTTCGTCACGGCGGATAGCTGCACCGCTAGGATTTGCGCCTTCGGAAGGTGGATGATTGTCTTGTTTTTGACTGGCTAATGGAGTGGCAGAGGAAGTTGAAGATGGGTCGTCCTTCTTCGCGGTCGGGTCTATCTTTAATGTGAGGGCTGGTACGGCTCCATTGCCAAAGTCTGCATCTGGAGGGCCTTCGAAGAAACAAAAGGTGCTATCAGCGAGTTTGGTGTCTGCTTTGGGGGGCCGCCTGCTGCATTTGATGTAAGCACTGTAAGAAGCCGATGTATGGCCGCGGGGGTAGAACTTGATTTGCCAGTAGTTCCCATCCACCAAAGCAGGAGGAGAAACCATGACTCTAGCATGGTTTGGCTTGTCCTTGGTCCCTCGGACGCCCTTGATGACCCAGCTGAGGCGCAGCTTCTTGATCGGACGCATGTCCGGATCGTCTGTGTCGGAATAGATGCGCTTCTCAACACTAGGAATGTCCAGTGCACTCAGCTCTGTGCCTCTTGACTCACGCATTCTCAGCTCTTCCATCTCCTCCTCACTTGGTTTTGACCAGTCGTCCTCAAAAAGTGTCCATTCTGGGATGTGGAGGCGCGGTTCAGGCGGTGGAGGAGGGGTTGAGCTTGAGTCTTGACTTGGGACTTCCGCTACTACTGTAGTTGTGCCCTCTTCTGTTGGAGTTGCTGGCTCCGGAACCACCACATCTTCTGGTTGCTGCACCTGAGGCACTTCTTCAGTGGTATTCGTCGACTCTTGTGGTTGAGATTCGGGCTCAGTAGAGGGAGCGTCCGCCATCTCTGCGTCCGCCATCTCTGCGTCCGCCATTTCGGGTGGGGATGGAGATGGCTCACGCTGAGGCTGTGGGGAGCTGGAAGAGGGAGGATCGTGTGATTCAGGTCCGGGCATAGTCGACATTTGTGGTTGGCGGTCAGGTTCAGGCTCCGGAGTGTATGCGGAAGTCAAGGTGTGAGGCGGAGGGGGATGAGTTTGGACTAGGACTGGCGAAGAGCTCTGTGAGGCCATGGTACCGGGAGCAGTGCCAGGAACTGATACGTAGCAAGATGAAAACGAGAAAAGGGAAGAGTGAGGCGGTGAATGCTTGAATTGGGCTTGTATATCAGTTTGAGGTGGTGTGCTTCGTCAGAAATGAACAAGGACGCCGTTACATTTTCCAGCAATTGGCAGCGGTCTCCGAGAGAAAGCAAGAATGATGGCTCAGTTCCAGGGTGAGCAGTGAGCTTTTGTGAGCATGAAAGGCTTCCGACTTTTGCAATCGAGAGGGTGTGCATTTATGCAGGAGTACTGGGTATGGTAGAACCGGTAAGTGGCAGGCAACGAACGAAGTCCAGGCATCGGCGTGGAGGCTTAGCTATTGGACGGGGCCGACAGGCTCCAGCGCCTGGATGCTCTTGGGTGGCCCCGGTTCTAACTGGCCGCGTGCACGGCTAGGCTAACTTGGCTAACCTAACAAGTACCTGGTAGGCCTACTAAGACTACTCTCTTCCTCGTAATGGTTACTAGTGCTGGCCCCCCACGTAATGACTCCCCAGCTGTCGCCACCCGCCTTTGGGCCGCAAGCCCACTGAAAGCCTACTGTGGTAGTGAGGCTCAGCCATTAGTCCTTTGCAGATGCCTGACTCTTAAAAACCCACCCGGGACTCATCGTCTACTCGTAAGAAACGCTGGTGCGCCCCGTTCCTGTCCAGCGCTTATTGGCTCGAGTTGTGAGGCCCTCAAATGTGATCTTTATCCTTTCAAAACTCACCATTTCTCAACCCTCTCAGCCTGACTCACTTCGCCAGTCAGGTCTGACAATCCTAACCATCACACCACGCAGGCGGTCTCCACTCTCCCATCGTTATAACAAGTACAGAGGACTGGTAAATATTCTGCGCATGAGGCTCTCTGGCTTGAAGCATGTGGAATGGGAGACATCACGGCTCCTTCTTCTACCAGCCTACTAGACCTCGGCTTCAGATTCTGATCAGATACCGGTCGATTATGATTTTGGTTCTGGTTTTGCAAAAGTCGCGGCCACAATCAAGGGGAAGCTTATTGTACTGAAGACATCTGTTAGCCTGGATCATTATCAACAAGAGTCTGCAAATCGGACGCCAGCTCACGCTTCAACATAGACCTGTTTATTGACTCATGTCAGTCTTCTGCAGTCGTCACGTTCATCCTTTCCATACCTTAACACTGTCCCCGTCGGCTTTGATTCTACTCCATAGCTTCCGGTTAGCTTCAATGAAAGACACTGCCAGTAGTTTTGGGAGACGACTCACTTGCCCCAACTCACTGCCTCATCCGGTCTGGCACCAGCATCACTCCCATCAAACTCCTGTGCAGTATTGACATAGACGGCACTTTCGGCGCCATTCCGCATGAGACACGCGTTAGCTATGTGATGCTTGATGATCCCGCCCCCGAGGATAATCATGCCTGCCCGCTTCGCCCGCACGGCAATTGTGTTGATTTTTCGAATGTCCTTGGCTATGTCAATGCCGAGATGCAGAGGGGACGCTTTGAAGGAATGGAAGTAGATCATGTCTCCGAGGCTGCCGTCCGTCAGGGCGGGACAAAAGACTGGGATGTCGTTCTTGTATGCCCAGTAGTAGACCGATGATTCGTCATTGATCTCTTTGCCGAGCCGACGAATGATGGTGCTGGGAGTCCACATGAATCTTTCACCGGACTTTGCAAACTCCTCTTCCTGCTCTGCCAACATCTTGTCTAGGATGGGAATGATCCAGTCCTCGAAGGCGCAATAGTTGTTGTTGGGCACGATCAAGTTACCGATGCGGTTCAGTCCCTTGGCTCGAAGGGCGGCCCCCGAGGCAGAAAAGGAGCCCAAGTATGTGGGAGCCAGACATTTGATGAAGTCCTCCTCAACACCCCCGGCGGTGGTGACAATGGCCGACACATGGCGATGTTGGACAAGATAGCGAAAGGTGTCACGCAGGCCTGAGGATATCATGTTGGAAGTGTAACCTAGAAAAATGGTGGTTTTCTCGCCTGACTCGGCATCTCTCCATGATCTCTGAAAGCAGTCAGAACAACTGCTTCTTCGCACTGACCTTGGTTTACGAGTGACGGACCATGTCATTGATGATACGGATCGCATCGCCTATTGAACTGGATTGGAAACCTTGTCCGGTGAGTTGGTCGATGAAATTTGAGATGATAGTGCGCTGTTCGTCCGGCAAGGACATCCAGTCGATGCCCTTGACCTCTTGGGCTCCATCAGCAACAGGTTCCGAAGGTACCAAGACAGCATCAGTGGCTTTAGTCGGTGGTGCAGATCCCATGGTTGGTCTCTGTACACCTCAAAGGGTACCGAGTGTGTAGTAATATAAGGACGATAGTGTAAAGAGCCGCAGAAAAAAAAAATCGAGAACGGGTCGATTGGTAGAGGTGATCTCATATGATGATTCGCTGGTGTTGTCAGTGTCGAGAGCGGGTGGCAGGCACCCTATGAAACTTGACCGGATAAAGTCACCAGGCAGCACGTTGGGGTTTAATTTGGACACTCGGCAGCACCTACTTGGTAGTAGCTTGGCTCGCTAGGGGCACCGAAGGGGGCTAGGAGGCGCGTGGGATTTTTCTCAAAGTTCGGTGGCGCACCAAGGTAAAAGCAGAGTATTGACCGAAACTTTGGCTGCCAAATGGGGTGTTTCTTTTGTAATGACTCTAATACGCTGCCCGTAATTAGAATCACGGTTGACGCAATGGTCATTTGTACCGAGTACAACGCACGGGCGACGGATCGGCGGCGGCGGCTAAGGTTGAGGTGCAGCAGCCTGGAGCAGCCAGGGCTAGGGAGCTCGGGAGGTAGGCCACCACGCACAAGCAACAAGCACTGCTACTTACCACCACCAAGCGCCTTGTCCGTGTCAGACCCATCCATGATCCATGATCCATCTCTTTTCGTCCTTTTTCCCTCCTGGTCATTTTTCCATCTCTTCCCATCAAATTCATTTATCCCACAACTCCGTCAACGCGGCTGCACGATCGCGCATTGGAACTCAACCGCTCTCGGGGTTTTTGCGATCGACATAACAGCCAATACGGCGCTTTTCCCTTGCACAAGGACTCCAATCACCCCATTTCAGCTACGCGACGCTACCTTCCTTTCCCTTCGGCAAATCGAGATCTGGCCCATTTCTGCCACGTACTACGCGACCGATAACTCACCTTGTCTCGCTGTTGTCTCAAGCTCGTCCTCTTGAACTTCCTTCGACTCGGAGAGTGCCAAGGGCGCGAAGACCGACGACGTGTTCGAATTTAATCCACATAATTCGCCTCAGGTAGCCGAAAAAGGCCACTTGCACTTCAGCGTGCAGCCGTTCGGTCGTCTTGTTCTCCGAAGTGGGACAAGTAGAAAGTGCGCCTGATCAGTGTGTCAATCGGTGGTTGTGGCTTCCAAGCTCGGACGGCAGGCTTTCTTTTGACAGCACGAACTTCAACTTGAGGAAAAAAGGGACGAAACGTTAGCGTACAACCCGAAGGCCAGACAATCGACGAGACCGGATTATCTCAGCCCTCCAAAAGCCACGCTAGGAGACGCCATACCCACCCTGACAAAGCCTTCTCGGTCCACCCCAAATAACCTGGGCATCGATAGGAGGTCCAAAATTGGGCTGGCCAGATCCAGGGATCCCCGGCTTCGGGCACGTGATGTTGTCCGACCCAAGCGAATCTGCTCTTGGCCAATAGAATTGACCATCCTCGAGGCCTGTGGGGGGGTATGTCGTCTTCAAGATATCCTCCTCCACCAAGAGATCGCTCCCCACCTCGATTCGACCGCAGACCATCAACTAACTATACGCCTCCGAGCTCTTTGTACAGAGGCCAAGGAGAACCCGGCTTACTACCGGCTCAGCGAGACCCTCCTCGAGGCCCGAAGGCTGACTTTCGAGGTGGCGGGGGTGCTTTTCCATTCAGTTCTACTGCGCGTGGTCGAGGTGGAGGATTTACTCCCCGGCCTAATGATAACTGGGATAGAGACCGTGAACGGGACCGTGAACGAGATCGCGATCGAGATGCCCGGCCACCCCCACAGTCCTACCGGGGTCGAGAAGATGACCGCGCCGAATGGCCTCGACGTGATCGTGACTTCGCAACTGCCGATCGCAATGTCACATTAGCCAGAGACACTCGACCGTATGTTGGCAGAGAACGCTCGGCTTCTCCAATTCGACCCAGGAGAGACTCGCGTGAATCGATCCCTTCTACTTTCTCTCGTCCTGCGGAATCTGCATCATCATACTATCCTCCTACAGGGCGGGGTGGGCTTGGCCGCGGCAGGGGAAGAGGCGATTGGGAGAGGGGCAGGGGCAGGAGTTCTTTCGTGAGCGAGCGCGAGCGGGACCTGTTCCATCCACGAAGCCGTTCAAGAGAGAGCTGGCGTGATCGTGAATTCGACCGAGGTCGGCCGCCCCCTGGGGACGCTGACCGCTCCGACAGGTACGAGCGTCGAGACTATGAGCGAAGCCGCGAGCGTGAAGTCAGAGCTCGAGACTCACGGGACCACGACGTATGGCCGAGGGATCAATCGCCTGCTAGAATATCTACTGGAAACACGGGCGCCGCTGTTGCCACCCCGTCTGCTTCTGGCAATGACCGACCTGGAAAATCCGATTTTGATACACCCAGACGGCCGTCCCTTGTAGCTACGCCAACCAGCGCCATCCGCGACAATCGGCGTGATGGCGAAGGAGCAGATTATTTTGGAAGCTCGAGGCTGGATCCTTCTCGTCGTGACCAACCCCAACTCCCACAACAACCCTCTGCCGCCGTTGGCCTTGACTATGGTCCCCCGCCATCCTTGCCACCGTCAGTCACCACCCCCGCTACGGAGAAGCCGGCCTTCCCGAAGCTACAGCCTCCCAAGCCTGAGCAAGCAATACCTTCGCCAGCTACTTTTCAACCGCCTAGTGGGCCAAAAGCTGGCAGGACCGGGCCCACAGCAAGCCTCAGTCAAGCCGTGAAGACGCCTCAAACCCAGGAGGGCTGGACTCGTACCGAGCCTGTTTCGCGTCCCGTCCGCCCTGGCCTGATCCCAAGTGCAAGCAATCTATCGACGGAAGGAAGCACAAAGAAAGACGAGCTCCCTGTCGAAGCTAAACCTCCTGCGGCGCCAGCTGCTGACCGCTCTATGCCTCCAAACGTTCCTTCCGGCCCACGACTAGGCAATGCGCCGCCATTTAAACACAGACTATCTTCGAGTGAACCATCAGGCTCTGGTCCACCTCCCATGGCACCAAGAGAACCTTCTTCAAAACCTTCCGGATTGGACAATCGGGCTCCAGCAATTCCGACAGGCCCTCGTCTTGACCGCGAAGTTTCGAGGACAATGCCAGGGACAGCCTCCAAGATATGGATCTCCCCGGACTACAAACCAAAGCCTTCTATTATGAACGCAATGAACAAACAGTTCCAGCCCGAAACCCGGGATAGAGGCTTGATACCCACAGGCCCGAGGCAGCAGAATGTGTTCCCTACTCACGCTGACAAGGCTCGGGCACCACATACATCTGCAAATTCGATCCCATTTGCACCGTCTGGGCCCAAGGCGCTGATAGCAACAAGTCCCAAAATTCAAGACGCCAAAATGACCCTCTTGCCTCCTAGGCATCCCGTCGACGAGTTCCAACCCCAAGAAGATGTGATAATGTCGGTTCCCGCATCCAGTGAGGACGAGGACGAAGTTGAGGATGATTCTTTCGACGAAGAGTACTATATTGAATCTGAAGAGAGGCATAAGCAGGAGATGGAATTGCTTCAAGCTAAGAAACCACCACCTTTATTACAAGATGCTGCAATTGTGGCCCTCCTTGTAAAGCTGCAATTTCTTGAGATGATATCTCAAGCTCCTGTTCTTAGGCCCGTTTCCAAACCTCTCGAGGTCACAAAAGAGGAGGCTCCTGCTTCTGTTACCGTTGTAACCGGGTTACCGTCCCCAGACCAGGTCCCTCATGAGACCGAGTCTAAACAGGAAGTCCAGGAAGTGGAATTACCACATCCCAAAGGACGACCTCTCAAACAGCCACCAGTGAACCCCATACCCACTCCTCCCATCGAAGATTTGCCGTATCTGAAGCCGGGACCTATTGAGCCAGTCGTCTTTGAAGACTCTGACAACGAAGTCGAACATGAAGCAGTCGCAATTCTCCTTCAACAGGAATTTGAGCGCAATGCATGGGACTGGAGATCTGAGCTTGAAGAAATGCACGCGGAGTTCAAGGCCAGGTATCCTCTATGGAAGCAGAAGATCCATCAACTGGAACAAGATAGGCGTGAACTACAGGCTAGCCCTGCGCCTGCCTCCCCTGCACCGTCAGCGGCACCATCGGTCACACCTTCATTAACCCATGAACGTACCAGAGGCGCGCGAAATACGACAGAAGCGGATTTACAAGCCGCAATTTTAATGTCTCAGCAGTCCCTCAGAGAAGAAGAAGAACGACGGGAGAGAGAGGCGGCTTCTAGCTCTTTGCCAAACTACGACACGGAGGCTGTCGTACCGCCAATGCTAAAGCCCGCGGACATTGAACTGTCCCAATTCGAAGAGACGAACCATCTCATCCCAAATGAATTGGCATTGCATGCTTTTGCCTACGTCCCTCCCGAGGACGATTTTACGGAAGAGGAGCAAAGCCGTTTCATTACAGCCTACTGTCAAAATCCCAAGAAATGGGGCAAGATCGCAGAATCTCTTCCGGGTAGAACGTATCAAGAGTGCATCGTTCATTACTACTTGACGAAGACCCAGGCTCACTACAAAGACCTCTGGAGACGATCGCAGCCTAGGAAGCGCGGTCGACGAGGGGCTGCAACTAAACCCCGTTCCACGGCTTTGATGTCCGAGCTCCTCAATGGTGATGATGCAGAGGCGACACCTGTTGCCGTTACAGATAGCGGAAGGCCGAGGCGGGCGGCGGCACCCACATTTGGAGATGCCCCCAGCGAAGCTGACTCTTCAACACCCGCCCCACAGTCGAAGAAGCTTACATCGGCCTTGAAAGATGGCAATTCAGACGGCAGTGGAACCAAAACGTCAAGAGGCCGCAAGGCTGGTACTGCTGCCAAAGTGCGCAGGACCAAGGCGCAGATTCAAGCTGAGCAGCAACAGGCTTTACTTTCGAATGCTGCTGAAGCCTCGCCCGGCAAACCCGCCACCGCTAAGGTTGAAAGAGGGCGCACACTGATTCGCGCCGAAAATGTGCCCATCAGACCCGATGCTCCTGCCATCCCGCAAGTGCAACGATCGGTTGAAGCAGGACTACAGCACTATCCTATCTGCGATGTCCCAATCGGCCCTCCAACAGCCCCAGCGTCGACAGCATCGTTGCAAGTGACGAGTTATTGGTCAGTACCTGAACAGCACAAGTTTCCAGAGCTTCTGGCGTATTTTGGTCGAGACTTTACCGCGATTGCAGACTTCATGAAGACGAAAAGCGTGACAATGGTGAGTGCACCCATGGATGGTTCACACTTGCTGGCTGACAAGACAAAGATCAAAAATTATTATTCTCGGCAAATCAATGACGGCAAGGATGAGCTTGAAAAGTTCGCCCGGATGGGTGAGCAGATGCGCGAACAGATGCGCATCGCCGGAAAGGTCGCGATTCCACCTCCAAGTCCGATCGCGGCTCCAAAACGTCGGTACGACACAGCATTGGCACCCATCCCTCGTCCAACAACCCAGGGTGAGCAGAACGTTGTAGATGGTGAGCCGCCAGTTCCAGCAATCACGCAGAGCGTCATTGAAGACTTCCCTCGGAACATTCTCGAACGGACAGCCTCTGGGGACATTATTTCCAAGCCCCGCCCAGTTGGACGCGAAACACTTCGTGAGGTCACTTTACCTGCTCCTCTTCCACCTAAGACTGAAGAGCCTCCGAGATTACCCAGTGACCGTCCTTCTCTCTTTGCCCACAAACCATTGCATGGCCCCAAAGCTGGCGTTTTCCAGGATGATATCGGTTTCCAGCCTTCCCGTCAAAATCTCCGGACAACGCTTCAGGAGCGGTCGCCCCAAATACTCACGCAGAGACTTCCGGATCTACCTCGCCCTGAATTAGCACAACAAGCCCCAATACCCACAGCCGCTCCAAGCCTTCTTGGCTCGCGAGAGCCTCTCATTCAAGGACAGCCACTGCCCCAAGCTCCTCCCGCTCCTCCTGTTCAAGGCATCCAAGCTCATGTCGAGAAGTATACACCGCCAAATGCTCTGCATCCTAGTCAGAACCGTAACAGTGGCTCGGCAACGCCGAGCCAACCGCCTCTGGAGAGGTCTCAGGATATTTCCTCTTTGCGCCACATGGACGATCAACGTGCATTGTACCGACCTGGTCCGACAGGGTCTCCAGTATTGACACCAACATCAATACCTGCCTCGCAGCCTGCGCGAGCCGAGATAGCTCGGCCAGCGCCAGCGCCTCCTCCGGCAGAACCTCCGAAACCTCCCGCCAAACGCTCGAATGTGTTCGGTCTTCTCAACGATGATCCCCCAGATCCACCGCCAAAGCGACCGTCTCTGGAGGCACCGAAACGAACATCCATCCTCTCTCCGCAGATTACTACTCTTCCTCCAGGGCAGAATCTGCTACAGCAACCGCGAAGCCAGCATCACCCTGAAGATCCGCTTCTAAATAGAGCACCAAGAGGCCCATATGGTCCCAGTAGCGGCAGCGTGCTTTCAGCAGGCAGCGGGCAGCAGTCATCGACCGAGTATCCGAGTTCGTTTTCTGCAACTACTGCCCCTGGGCCCAGCAATGAAGCATGGATGGACCGTTTTGATCCGCGTCCTCAGGGAGTCCCAAGTGACCAGCGGAGTCACCACCATTCGCCTGCCCCGAGTCACTATTCTGTTGTACCTCCAACTTCCCAGCAGAGTAGCATTCCTCCGCTCCATTCGGTGCGAGTGGACGCGGCCCGCGGAATGGATCGATCTGGAATCGACCACCGACGGACGTTGCTAAGCCCAATTAATCAGATGCCACATGCGCCCTCTCCTCCACCTCAACAGCCGACGCCGCTTGTGCCACAATTGCGTTCAGCTTCCACTTCATCGCACCATTCACGGGTACCCTCTGTTGGTTACTCTGCTTCGCAGCCGCCGAGTCAGTCGTCTCTCAGCCACCCGACAATGCCGCAAAGTCACTCTCACTCGGCAAGCTCAACTCCAGTCTCAAGTCTTCACCGAGCGCAGTCGTCTCTCGATTTTGCACCACGACTAACCATCCAACAACACATGGCTCAGCAAAACCAGCAGAAACAACAGCAAGAGCAGCAGCGTGAACACGAAAGACACATCCAACGCCATCGAGAATTGGAAGCGGCACAACATCGTGAAAGGGAACGCGAGCGAGAACAACAGCAACAACCACCACCACCGCAGTCCCACCAGCAGCAGCAGCAGCAACAACAACAACAACACATGAGGCGGGAGATGTACGGTATCGAACACCATGCAACGCCTACAATGTCTCGCCAAAACCAACTGGGGACGGCATCTAATCAAAGCCACGCGGCATTCGCTCAACGGGAGATTCCACGAACCTATACACCTCCGCATTCACATAGTAATTCTCACTCTCATTCTCACTCGCAATTCCCGGTTTCTAGTCACGGCCCGGGTGGCTTGGGAGCGCCTCATCCTCTTCAGCATCCACATCCGCATGCACATCAGCAGCAGCAGCAGCAGCAGCAACAACAACACCAACATCAACATCAGCACCAACACCAGCACCAGCATCCAACGGGACCGCTTCCACACCTACAGGCGCAAGGGAGAGGTCAACCGCCGCCTCATTTGCATCACCCTCACCCTTCTCAACCGCAAATCCTCCATCCAGGACCGACAGGGCATTTTCGAGCGATGAGTCAAGGAGAACCGAGACGTGATGAGAGACGGTGAAATGAATCGGCTCAACCTCGGTCCTGCTCTATTTTGCCGCGTCCGGGCATTCGGTCTCACTTCTGTGTCCATCAATATCTTCCTGACTTGTTCCTTTTCTATGCTGTGTACACATACGAACGGATCGGGATAGGATGGTTGTATGACTAGAATTCATTGTCATGAGATTCTGTGAAACAGGGAGGAGCGGCAATTAGTGGGGAATCTATTTCATTGGAATGGTAACGGCGTGGATCGATTGGAGCTATGTCTCGAAGAGATACGAGCAGCTGTGTAAAGCACAGGGATTCCATTGTGTCGGAAGAAGATATGTACTGTACGAATGTGAATAGGCAACACATTGCAATAACTGCCTTGCTACTGAGTAACTATGTACCTAAGCAGAACATTGACTGCTGCCTAGGCACCAGTTATAAAAGAAGGGGAACTGCACCGCCACAAGTGAGGCACAGCAGCACATCAACATACCCAGTAGTCTAGAGTCTCGTAGAGTGCGGATACCTCGTACGTCACCCAGAATCAGCAAACTTACACTCAAATGGTGATCAGCGAGAAACCCGTCTCGCAATCGATCGTTGCCTCGAGCCCGAGTCTTGTTCTGTCTAAAGAAGCTTACGCGGTCCTTCGCTTGTTCGGCCACTCTACCACACTCGGTGCGCCTCGAAGCGGCACCACGATATAATTGTTGGTCTCCTCTCCTTGTCGGCCGCTCGAGAAAATCGTCTGATCTGCCTCTCTGGATCCTTCGGGTCTCATGCGGCTACACCTCTCCTTCTTCCTCGCACCCAACCCGCCGCGGCTGGCTGGGACATGTGAATCTTAGGCCACCACGATTGAAGAAACATCAAATTCCCGACAAGCACGCTGTCTCTCCGAATCCATCGCTCGGAAAATAACAATGACACGTAAAGCATCGCTGCCGTATCCCACCGGTCCCCCACCTCAGCCTCCATTGTCGAATTATAGCCCTGAGCCACAAGCCAGCCTGATACCCGACTCGGCCGATCTCCCTCCCCTACCTTCCTCCTCGCGCAGAAGCCCGATTGTTGCCGGCTCTTCTAGTTTTCAAGACGCAGAGAATCCATGGTCCGATCTGCCCGCAAAAGACCAACCATCAGATCGACCAGTGCCGGATATTCTAAAACCAGGGCAGCCAGGTCCACCGGCCGGGACTGGTACCAGTCCCCAGAGCCACGCCCTCTCCAACATCCCTCTGATTCTAAGAGCAGGGCATTCGCAGGATGACACCCCCCGATCATCGCTGGATAGTCAACGATCCAAGGATTTCTGGGAAGATTCAGATGATGGACAAGACGTGCGAGGCAAGAGTCCAAAGAGAAGTCCAACAAGGGGACAGATTGCGCTTCCAGACACCGATTCGCATCAAGACCCATGGGTGGATGTAGAGCCGCCAGACCAGTCTACCGGGATCAAGAGGAAACCCGTGGGCTGGGGGACCTCGCCTGTGCCTGTGCAATCTAGGCCAGACGTACCCACCACCTCGACTTTTGCTTCAAATAACCCTTTCAGACGTCCTTCAGACCATGCTCGGGCGGATGAACGATCAGAGACCTCCAACTGGGACCAGGATACACCTGGCTTAGCAGCGAAGGGGAAAGAGCTAGATCGCGGGCATAGGCTACCTCCAATCGACCAGTTGCAAGGTTTGACCGTGGGAGGTGGCACGATATCTGGCCTGCCATCCTATACCACCACGCAAGATACGCAGACACCCGCTGGAACATGGGGAAACGGGTCTCAAATGGGGAGCCCTCCCATGCCCCAAGGTCCTCCGCCACCTCCGCCGGGGCCTCGATCACCCGTCAGTGAACAACCGCCGCTCATGCCAGTCTCTCCGCATCATGATTCAATCGAGAACCCCTGGGCTTCAAATGTCAACCTTTCACCGCCCACTCCATCTCCAATTCCGTTCGCACCTTCCCAGAAGCAAGTATCAACCTATAGCAATGATCTACTGGACCGCGGACAACAGAGCGGAGTCGTGTCCCTCCAGGATGAATTAGAAACACTCCCAGAGGCTGCTCACGCAGGAACTGCAGCATACGATGAGCCCTCCTTGTTAGAGGACGACGAAGTCCGGCCCCCTCTTCCCGTCAGACCGGCACAGCGTACCGCGACCGAGTATTTCGATCCTCCTGAAGGACCTCCTCCGCCTAAGCCACCTCGGCCAACAATACGCACAAGCATTCCATCAGACGAAGACGTCGCAAAAATGATAGAGCAAAGAAACGAAACGTACCAGATCAAGCATTTCAACTGGTTCGATCACGGCTCCCGGAAATTGAGAAGATCGTCCATGTTGACCCAGAACAAGAACGGTCCGTGTCCCCTCCTCGCCTTGGTCAATGCTTTGATATTAGGGGCCAAGCACGAGTCTCAGGCCGCCCTAGATGAAGCTCTTCGGACGCGCGAGCAAGTCTCGCTTGGCCTTATCATTGAAACCTTGATGGACGAACTGCTATCGAGAGGGTTTGATGCTGTCGGAGAAGTCATGCCCGATGTGGATGAATTGAATCACTTCTTGATGCGCTTGCGGACCGGGATGAATGCTAATCCCCGATTCGTGTCTCCTTTGCAACCGGCGCCGAATCTGATGGACGCCGATGACTCCATGTTGAACATGCCTCAACAGGAACGAGCGAAACAAAGACTGGGCACGTTTGAGTCAACTACCGACATGAAACTCTACGGAGCTTTCCAAGTTCCCCTGGTTCATGGTTGGCTTCCCGACCCGGGATCAGAAGCCGCGAAGGCGTTTGCACGATCCGCGCAAACCTACGAAGATGCACAAGCGCTACAGTTTGGAGAGGAGGAACTGGAGTACAAACTGATGAACCAGGGTCTATCCACAACCGAACAAAACATGTGGGAGGATATCAACGCGATCAAAAATTTTCTCAAGACCTACCCCACCCAACTTACTCCCTCTGGTCTCGAAGCCGTTCAAGATTCGATTCCGTCAGGCTCTTTTGCCATCATGTTCCGCAATGATCACTTCAGTACCATCTATAAGCACCCTGAAAGTGGTCAACTTTTCACCTTGATAACAGATGCCGGGTACGCCGATCGAGATGAGATCATATGGGAAAGTCTTGTCGACATCAGCGGCAAACACAACGAATTCTTCTCTGGTGACTTTATGCCGGTGAGTCACCACGATGTTGGGGACGGGTCATCAACTCATCCAGCGGCTCCACGGTCATCGCAGCTTTTGACAGTCAATAATCCTCCACCCGCGACACCGCTGTCTCCGCAAGAACAGCAGGAACAACACGATGCGGACTTTGCCATGGCCCTACAGCTCCAAGAAGAAGAGGAGCAACGACAACGAGCGGAACGAAATAGGCGACACGGCGGAAATGCAAGCGCTGGCAGCACGCAGCAGAGAAGGTCACAATCCGGCAGCATCCCGATCCCTCTTCGCTCTACTCAACCAGCACCGGAGGTGCGACCGCCCATTCCACCCCGCGTCTCGCACGCACCCAATCCAGGGGTCCATCGACCCTCGGACGCGCTGGTTGAAGATGCACCGCCTGCATACGAGGAAGCAGCAAAAGGTAGACCGTACATCCCACCGCTCGGCAGCCCTCTGCACCCTTCTGCCGAACCATCTCCGATGAACTCCAACACGCAGTTGACGGGTACCATTAGCAATATCAGCACCCACTCGGCCTCAGGAGTGGGTGACGCTCCTTATCACCCGCCGGGGCCAAATGCAGGCAGGAGGGATCCAAGACGAAGGTTGAGCGCGTACAATGAGATGTCTCAGTGGTATGGCCAGTCACCGCAAAGGTTGCAACAACCGCAAGGAGTGTCAGGTCCATCTGGGAGGGGCGGGAGGCATGGACAGGATCGCGATTGCATTGTTATGTAAAGTGGGGGACCCTCAATGGTAATAGCAGGGGAGCTACCGGTGGATACAGGATTATTCGATCGGTTCAAGACAGCGGACGAGACACGCACAAGATCAGAACAGACGAGATACCGGGTCCTGTGGGACTTTTACGAGATACGGAATAATGAAAAGCTCATCACGCACGAATAACCACCGAGTGGCCGCTCTTAGGATAGAACCAACTCGTCTGGTTTCATACCCTAGAGGTTCCCCTATGTTTAAAGGGGATCGCAGCGCCCGTTGTGAGTGAACGACGCCTCTGATCTAATTTATTAATGTGTTTCCCTTGCGGCAGGGAAACACATCCCATCAGACTACGCCGGTTAAGTCATTTTGGTTGACGTCCTCGAGCCATACTTACCGGTAGCAGCAGCGGTGAGGGGGACGGCTCAATCGAGCAGGACCGAGCAGGGCAGATCAGGTTATGTGATAAGTACCGAGTAATTAGCCAATTAATTAACTAGGGCCTCCTGACATCAGAAGAGAGAGTCGCTTTGGTATTGGCTTTGTGGGTGGATCGTCGGATCCATGGTCTCTAGAGGCGCAAATGGTTTCTGGTTCCCCAACGGAGTAATATTAATACTGGATACAGGTTCCGTTTCGCCAGCGCGCTGTCCCCGAGGGTAAGTATCCTTCCCACTCCTCCATCTCCCTGCTCTACCATCTCCTATACCTACTCGAATAGAAACGGGTTTCCGCGCCTACCAAGAGAACTTCTCCCCCGTCAACCCTTCACTCACCTCCCATAACTCGGTCGCGAACTCCTTCTTGACCGCATACGCCGGCGCAGCCTTGAACTGACAATCGCTCAGGAACACGCCGTGGCCATCGTCTCCCGGTACGCTCAACTTGTCGTCCACGGCCGCCACAAGTGTCGTACTGCTGCCTTGCTGTTGGGTCTTCCAGACTAGTCCGTGCTTCTTGGCGGCGTCGAGCATGGTGTCCAGCATCGCCGGGTCCGTGTATCGGCTCAGCTCGGTCTGGATTTCTCCCGGGTTCACGGCGACGCTGAGGATGCCGTGTTTGTCGTACAGTTTGTCATTGAGGCCCACGCTGAACAGCACCGCGGCCGTCTTGCTAGCTCCGTACGCTGCGGTGGGGATATAGGCCATGGTCTCGTCCACGGGGAGATTGAAGGCCTTCATCATGGCGATGTTGGGCTTCTCCTCATCCGGCAGCTCTGTCACGGGTTTCTGGTAACCCATATCGCTGAAGCGCACGCCGCCGACGTTGATGCCCATGCTCGCCAGGTTGACAATACGCACCGACCCGCGGGGCGACTTGGCGGCGGCGGCGAGGATCTTTGGCATGATCAAGTTGGTGAGCAGGAAGTGGCCCACGTGGTTCGTTGCCATGGTGATTTCCACACCGTCCTCAGTGATGGTGCGCGTGGGGATGTTCATGATGCCGGCGTTGTTGATGACGATGTCGATCGACGGTACATCGACCCAGCCCACGACTTCTGCACCGGCGGCACGGACAGACCTTTGCGACGAGAGATCCACCTGCAAGGTGCGGTAGTCGACAGGGATATCCGGATACGTTGATTTCAGGTCGTCGATGCATTCTTGGAGCTTCGACACCGACCTTCCCGCGAGGATGAGGCAGCGCGGCGATTGCGACGCAAACGCCTCGGCCGTGGTGTAGCCGATGCCTTTCCTATTGACACCTGTGATCAGGATCGTGCGGCCCTTGATGGCTGTGGGGAAGGCCGCGGCGACGGTTGGGCCGTCTGTCGCGAAGCTGAAGTCAGGGTGCGTAGTGGCAGTCGTCATGATTCGGGCCCAAAGGTGAGTGATTAATATACTTGATTAGAGAATGGCAGCAAGGCAGAAGGAAAACTAGGCAAGGCTTTCAGGTCCTTTCCGGGGGCAAGGGCAGGAGGTCTAAGAAACCAAGCACAAGAAAGCAGAAGACTTGACTTTGGGAAAAGGTATCGTGCTCTCTTATAGCATTTCGCTCATGCAATGGATAGATGGATGGTTCAGGCATTCTGCAATCCTGATTCGCGAGTTCGGGTTGCAGGCGTTGTGATTGGCTGTGGACCAAAGCTGCATATTTTCCTGGCCTCATTCCTCACCGTCTTCCCCAGTATCCTCCTCCTCATCTTCCGAATTGTCTTCATCGTCCTCCTCGGAATCATCCGCTTCTGACTCACTTTCCTCCTGGTCCGCAGAATTTCTCTCGAAGGGGTCAAATCCCTCTGCCTCCATGTCCTCGTCACCCCATTGTTCCCACTGCTCGAGAAACATCGCCGGAAGTTTTGCTACATGTCGTTTCAGCCGTCGCTGCCGGGTCCTGATGATGATTTCGCTGGCCTTGAGATATGCTTTACGGAAACGTCGCCAAAGGTCGGGATCAAGGTGGGGGTGCGGGAAGTAGGGGTCATTCCCAGTGACTGCCACGAGGCATTTCCTGACTACCTCTGATGATGGATCCTCGGAGTCTAGGTCAATGTTGGAGCATTTGTCATAATCCAACATCCACAGGTGGGTCTCTCGTTGCGTAAAATCGTCACCGGAGGATACTGGAATCTCGGTGGGCTCATCACCCAGGTATTCAAGGCTGAATCCCTTTGATGTCGAGCTGCCGATGACGAATTCGGTGTCTTGTGCATCAATCTGTGCTTGCCAATGTAGAATTGCAAGTCCCATTGCCATCTCTTCCGCAAAAGCATTCACATCGAGCCCAATCATCTTTGCTTGGTCCAGGTAAAGAGGAAAATTTCGGAGTGTGTCGCTCGAATTGTAGAGGCTGGTGTTTGGATTGTTCGCATCGATGTAAACGCGGGCGAGGCAATCTTTGTTTGGGAGATTGCTGAAAACGTCGTGCTGTATTTGCCTGTCTTCTTGGTAGAACTGTCGAATTAGAGCTTCACGCGTAAGCTCGGGCACTGACAGAATGCGCTCAACGTAGAATACCGCGTCTTTCGTTTGGTCTCCTTTGGGGAATCGTGAAAGGATCGCAGTCCAGAATTCACGAGCCTCGGGACCGTGGAAAGTATGTGCCCGGGGCACGCGTGGCGTACGACGTTCGGGAAAGCCGTCTCTGAACAAGCCGGCCCAGATGAGGTAGCTGTTGTAGGCACGGCCTGTCAAGTGGAAGTCTTTGAAAATTGCGTGGCAGTTCGCGCCTTTCTTGATTGCTTTTGCGGATCCTGGTATCTCGAATACACTCCCGCAGCTGCCGTATCCAATGTCTCGTAAACCAAGATGATTGACGCTGTCGAATCTGACTGCGTTCATCCGCCCTGCCAAACTAGATGAAGTTGACTGCTTCGAACCAGCCGAGAGTGCTCGCTTCAGAATGTCATGAGCAAGTTGCTTGTCGAGGAGGTCTTCTAAGACAAGTAAGCGCATGAGACCCTCTGAAAGCGTGGTGGAGATGCTCTCTTCCGAACAACCTTTGAATTGAGGCATGGCGTTTGAATTTGAGTGAGTCGAGAGTGAAGAAGTGTGAAAGAAATACGAGATGTACCTTCCTTTTATCTTTGACTCGTAGCAGACAACTGCGAGCCAGATTTTTTTTCATGCAGCAAAGTTTGGTTCGGCAAGGGATGTCAAAGAAGGTTCACTCCATATCTGGGCCGACTATCTTTAAAAGGATAAAAAGTGATCCAAAGGGGGAAGTGGCTTGTTTCGTTGATCGAGTCTTCCATGGCAGACCCGATGAAGGATCGAGTCTCGTTGGCAGGCGCGAGGTGTCGTACCGCTGGTCCGTGAAAAGCTTGGGGTATAACACAGACTCTGGTTTGACGACTCGCCCAGAAAGTGCTTCATAGAAGATTGGCATCGACTTGACTCAGCTGAGATAGATAGTTCAACATGGTTGGGCCACCATGATACTGTCATAAACCGTCGCTTGAGGTGGATAAACTCTTGGCCAGATACATAATGATCCCCATTGTGCGACATTCATTGTTACGTTGATTGTGGGTCCGACTAAAATCGTTACTGAGGTGAAAATTACCGACAACTGCATTTCCTCAAGACGGATTGTTAGGAACACTGGCGAATCAGGGTCTGAATGACGGCTGGCCACCTTGCAGTGTGGTAAGTGCAGTAAGAGTCAAAACAGAATGCACAAGCCGGAAGCACAGGTCGAGTAAAACGATGAGATTCCCCAAAACACCAAAGGTGGAGTCCAAAGATCGGACCCCGACAGAGTGAGAGCTCATTGGGAACCACAAGCATTGAGTGAAACCAGTGGATGAGGACTTGGCCAAGAGAACCTTGGCCGTTAAAGCCAGAGCAGACCCAGCCGAAGTGACCGCCAGCTGTTCAAAGTCAGACTGGGCCAAGGAGCGCAGCGGCGAACGACGAGACCATCAGCGTTGGGGCTCTCCGGTGCGGTACTAGCTGGGGGGATTATGCGACTTGGTGATATACATAGGGTCGAGGCACTGGACGAGAGAACTGAAGCTTCAGCCTTGCCGGCTTGAAAGGCAACCTGATCCATCGATACCGTTGTTGGATGAACGCAAAGCGCAAATGACAACAAGATGACCAGGCAGGGAACAGTCTCTGTGGTGCAGTTAGTTCCATCGTGAATTGAATGAAAACAACGCATTTTTGTTGTCAGTTTGCGTGAACAGCTAAAGAGGGGCGTGATGTCGAGTTGAGATGCCGTTGAAGGCAGTTTGTAAAGATCTAAAGACACAGAGTACCGAACCCATGTTCGAGATGTAGACACCTCTAGGTGAGCAAGGAGTTCACATTGGTAATGAAGCTGAGGTCGGCAAGTAGGCAAAAGAGGGTAAAGGTGGTGGAAGTGCGAGCATCGTCGGCGACTGCAGAGGGGCCGAAACAGTAACAAGCCATGTCGTAGTTATATTTTAGGGCCAGCCATGGCGCCACCAGGTGTTGGACTATTCGGGACCATCACTTGATTGATTGATTCAAAGGGAAGTTCTGTCTGCGGCAGAAAAGGCTTCGAATAACCGAGTCATGCCAAGTTGCTGCCGCGCCAAGAGGTCTCCGATATTACCTAATCGGGTTAGTCCAACCCTCGGGGCTGTCCACGTCCTGCGGATTGCGTCGGTGTAATATCGTAAGCCGTACTTTCTGAGCAGATGGTCCTTAATGAAATGCGTTGTTTGATGTATGGAGAAGAGCAGAAGAGTCGCTCAGCCCTGTCCAGCCTTGCGGAGGTTTTACGGCAAGGTGCCAACGGTGCCTCCGCTATCGGAGCGGAGAAATTGCCGGACTGCGCCGCCTTGTTCTCCACGGTGGGGGTTTTGGGGGGGGGTTGAAGCCGGCAGCATAGAAACAAACTGTATAATTTACCCAAGGATAACAATCACTCAAAGTTGCGGAGAACCTTTTCGCCCTTCTTATTTTCTTTCTTACCTTTCTTTTCTCTTGATATTCGGGGCTACTGTGTTCCTAGAGACGGTCGTTGTTCTAGAAATATAGCCTTCTCCTACCGTGTAGACACTGGTCCATATTCCGTCGTATGATACTAGTTTGATCTCCGAGCCTGTCTAGAGCAGTTTAAGAAGAGGGTTCATAGGAACCGAGAAATACTGAAGAACAAGGACATAGACAGGTGGTGGTCAAGTCATTGGAGGAGAGCAATCACGAAAGCCTCTAGCGCATACTAATAGAGGATTCGACCTCAATCCAAAGACTACTATATTACACTGAATCACGACCAAGAGTCAATTCTCGCGCCAGCTATCAGTCATGGCCGCTCCAGTCCTCGACTCCAGCAGTGCAACTCCTTCCAACACCTCTCCACAAACATTCCGCATCCTCGTCCTCCCCGGTGACCATGTCGGTCCTGAAGTCATGGATGAAGCATTGCGGGTTCTGGACACGGTCGAAATAGCCTCTCAAGGCCGGCTCAAATTCGAATTCAATCATCAGATCTGCGGCGGATGCAGTATCGACAAGCACGGCACACCAATTACTGATGAGGTCCTGAGGATCGCAAAGGAGGAGAGTGATGCAGTGTTGTTCGGGAGTGTGGGCGGGCCGGAGTGGTAAGTTTTTTTTTTTTTCTTTTGTTTTCTCCCTTCTCGCTTCTCCTTGACGAAAGACATTTGGCACGTTTGTATTGTCTTGCACCTTGTTTTTCTTGGTCCCTACCTTACAATAGCGTCAAGGGGCACAACCTACCCAAACCCCGAGTCTGGCTTGCTCCGCCTTCGCCAACACCTCGACGCATTCGCCAATATCCGCCCGTGCACATTCTACTCTCGCTCTCTGATCCCGCTTTCCCCTCTAAAACCCTCCATCGCCGAGGGCACGAATTTCATTCTCCTCCGGGAGAACTGTGGCGGCGCCTATTTCGGTCCCAAAGTTGAAGAAGCCGACTTCGCCAGCGACTCGTGGGCCTACGGACGTCCCGAAATTGAACGCTGCGCACGGGTTGCCGCTGCCCTGGCCACAACCATGGGAAAGGATGGCAAAGGCACCGGAAACTGCCCCGAGGGACCCGCGACGGTGTGGTCTAGCGACAAAGCCAACGTGCTTGCTTCGGGCCGGTTGTGGAGGAAAGTCACGTCGGAGGTCTTCGCCAAGGAGTTCCCTCATATCGAGCTTAAACATCAATTAGCCGACAGCTTGTCAATGCTGATGGTGAAAAACCCAAAGATGTTCAACGGCATCATCCACACGGACAACACCTTTGGTGACATGTTGTCTGATCAAGCAGGTGGCGTCGTCGGCACGCTGGGAGTGTTGCCCAGTGCTAGTCTTTCTGGTATTCCGGATGGCAAGACTCGATGTAATGGGATTTACGAGCCCGTGCACGGTTCTGCGCCAGATATCGC